GTGTGTGTGTGTGTGTGGACAAAAGAGTTAAAAACAAGGACTCAAAAAGATATATGTATACCCAGATACATAGCAGCATAATACCCAAAAGATGAAAGCAATCCAGTGTTCAATGACAGATAAAGGGATTTTTTAAATGACGTATATAGGAACACCTGAGTGGCTCAGTGGTTAGTGTCTGCCTTCAGCTTCTGCCATGATCCTGGAGTCCCGGGACCAAGTCCTGCATCCGGCTCCCTGCATGGACCCTGCTTCTCCCTCTGCCTATGTCTCTGCCTCTCTCTCTCTCTGTGTCTCTCATGAATAAATAAATAAATAAATCTTTAAAAATAAAATAAAATATGAGGTGTATACACACACACACACACACACACACTCTATGGAATATTATTCAGCCTTAAAAAGGGAAATATTATACATGCTACACTGTGGATGAACACTGACATTACACTAAGTGAGATAATAAATAACCTAGCCACAAAAGCATAGATATATGGCTCCACTTACATGAAGTACCTACCTAGACTTAAATTCATAGAAAAGAGAGTAGAATGATGGTTGCCAGGGATTGAAAGAAGTTGGGAATGGAAGGCTATTGTTTAATAGGTACAGAATTTCAGTTTGGACAGATGATGACATCTTCAGTTCTGGAGATGGTGATGATGGTTGCATAACAATGCAAATGTAATTAATTGAACTGAACTGTACACTCAAAAATGGTTACAATGATAAATTTTATGTTACATGTATTTTACCACAATGGAAAAAAAAACTAAGAATGTAATATGAAAAAAAAAAAAGAATGTAAAATGGTACAACTGCTTTGGAAAACAATTAGGCAGTTTCTTAAAATATTAAACATAGAGTTACTATATGGCCACCAATTCCGCTCTTACGTATAAACCCAAGAGAAATGAAAGGAAATGTCCACACAGAAACTTGTACATGAATGTTTATAGTAGCATTATCAAAATAGCCAAAGGAAGAAACAACCAAACTATTAACTGATGAATGAATAAGAAAATGTGATACAGCCATACAATATTTTTCAGCTCTACAAAGGAATGAAGTAGGGTGCCTGAGTGGCTCAGTTAGTTAAGTGTCTGACTCTTGATCTCAGCTCAGGTGTTGATCTGAGGGTCATGAATTCAGGCCCTGTGTTGGGCTCCACACTAGGCATGCATCTACTCTAAAAAAAAAAAAAAAAAAAAAAAAAGGAATGAAGTACTGATTCATGCTAGAACATGAGTGAACCTTTAAAACATTCTAAGTAAGTAAGTAAGTAAATAAATAAATAAATCATTCTAAGTGAAAAAACCAAGACATAAAAGGCCACATATTGTGATTCCATTTATATGACATGTTCAGACAGCCAATCCATTGAGACTATACAGACAGAAAGTAGATTATCATTATAGCTGCAAAACTCTGAATCTAAAAACCACTGAACTGTACATTTTTAAAGGGTGAATTTTATGGTATGTGAATTATAGCTCAAGAAAGCAGCTTTTTAAGAAAACATTAATGAGGGTAGCCCCAGTGGCGCGGTTAAGCGCCACCTGCAGCCCAAGGTGTGATCCTGGAGACAGGGATTGAGTCCCACATCAGGCTCCCTGCATGGAGCCTGCTTCTCTCTCTGCCTGTGTCTCTGCCTCTCTCTCTCTCTCTCTCTCAATAAATAAATAAAATCTTAAAAAAAAGCATTAATGAAAGAAATTGAAGATAACACAAAGAAATGTGAATATATTCCATGCTCACGGATTGGAAGAATTAATATTGTTAAAATGTCCATACTACCCAAAGCAATCTATAGATTCAGTGCAATCCCTATCAAAATGCCATTTTCACAGAACTAGAACAAAATAATCCTAAAATTTGTATGGAACCACAAAGACTCCAAATAGCCAAAGCAATCTTGAGAAAGAACAAAGCTGAAGGAATCATGACTCCAGATTTCAAGATATACTACAAAGCTATAGTAAAACAGTATGGTACTGGCACAAAAATAAACATACCGATAAATAGTAAAAAAAATAGGGAAGCCCAGGTGGCTCAGTGGTTTGGCACTGCCTTCAGCCCAGGGCCTCATCCTGGAGACCCGGGATCGAGTCCCACATCAGGCTCCCTGCATGGAGCCTGCTTCTCCCTCTGCCTGTGTCTCTGACTCTCTCTCTCTCTCTCGAATAAATAAATAAATAATCTTTTTTAAAAAATAGTAAAAAAATAGCCCAGAAATAAATCCATACTTATATGGTCAGTTAATTCATGACAGAGGCCTCAAGAATATACAATGGGGAAAAGACAGTGTCTTCAATAAATGGTGCCAGGAAAACTGAACAGCCACATACAAACGAATGAAAGTGGACCACTTTTTTTATACCATAGACAAAAATGAACTCAAAATGGATTAAAGACCTAAATGTGAACCCCAAAACCATAAAACTCCTAGAAGAAAGTATAAGCTGTAATTTCTTTGAGACTGACTGTAGAAATATTTTTCTTGTGATGTCTCCTCAGACAGGGAAGATAAAGTAAAAATAAACTACTGGGACTACACCCATTTGCACAGTGAAGGAAACTGTCAACAAAATGAAAAGGCAATCTACTCAATGGGAGAAGATATTTGCATAGGATACAACCAATAAGGGGTTAATACCCAAAATATAAAAAGAACTCATACAACTCCACACCAAAAAACCCCCACAAATAATCCAATTTTAAAATGGGCAATGAACCTAGACAGTTTTCCAAAGAAGACATACAAATGGCCAATAGACACATGAAAAGATGCTCAATATCACTAATCATTAGGGAAATGCAAATCAAAACTGCAACAAGACAACACCTTATACCTGTCAAATTGGCTAGTATCAAAAAGACAAGAGGGGCACTGGGTGGCTCAGTTGGTTAAGTGTCTGGTTTTAGCTCAAGTAATGATCCCAGAGTCCTAGGATTGAGCCCCATATCAGACTCCCTGCTCAGGGGGGAGCCTGCTTCTTCCTCTCCTGCCCCTCCTCCCACCTGTGCTCACTCTCTCTCTAATAAATAAATAAGATCTTAAAAAAAAGGAAAAAAAAAACCCAGACAGGTAACAAGTGTTGGTGAGAAAGTAGAGAAAAAGGAACCTTCATGCGTTATTGGTAGAAATGCAAATTGGTGCAGCCACTATGGAAAACAGTATGGAGATTCCTCAAAAAATTGAAAATAGAGGGCAGCCCGCGTGGCTCAGTGGTTTAGTGCTGCCTTGGCCCGAGGCATGATCCTAGAGTCCCAAGATGGAGTCCCATGTGGGGCTCCCTGCATGGGGCCTGCTTCTCCCTCTGCCAGTGTCTCTGCCTCTCTCTCCCTCTCTCTCTCTCTGTGTGTGTGTGTATGTGTCTCATGAATAAATAAAGTCTAAAAAAAATTGAAAATAGAAATGCCATTATGATCCAGTAATTTCGCTACTACTGTGTATTGACCCAAAGAAAACAAACACATACACACACAAAAGAAAACACTCTTTGAAAAGGTATATGCATACCTATGCTTATTACAGCATTACTTACATTATTATAGCCATGATATAGAAGCAACCTAAACGTCCATTGATAAATGAATGGATAAAGAAAATGTGATATATATGTACAATGGAATGTTACTGAATCAAAAAAAAAGAATGAAATCTTGTCATTTGGAACAACATGGATAGACCTAGAGAGTAACTAAGTCAGACACACAAAGACAAAGTCAGACACATGGTTTTGCTCAGATGTAGACCCTAAAAAACAAAACAAATGAACAAACAAAGCAGAAACAGAATGAGAACAAACTGGTAGTTGCCAGAGGGGAGGGGTATGAGGGGATGAGCAAAATGGATTCTAGTTATGGAATGAAAATATCATGGGATGAAATGTACAGCATAGGGAATACAGTCAATTGTATTGTTATAGTGTTGTAGGGTGAGAGATGGTAGTAGCTATTGCTGTAGTGAGCATAGCATAATGTATAGAGCTGTCCAATCACTATGTTGTATACCTGAAACTAATATAACAGTGTGTATCAACTATACTTCAATTAAAAGAGGATGTTCTCTTCAATTAAAAGAGGATGGGGATGTGAGGGGGGGAAAACATTATTTTAATTTGTACTTCTACCCCAAAATAATTCTTAATTATATGAAAATTTTTTCAAACTATATATTTCTTATCTGCTAGCAAATGCTGTCAAAAATAAACATTAATGACATTAAGTAGTCAATTAATGTTAACAGACAATGCTTAAAAATTGTTTGCTTAAAAAAAAATTGTTGGGGAGCCTGGGTGGCTCAGTCAGTTAAGCACCTGACTCTTGATTTTGGTGAAAGTCATGTTCTTGGGGTCATGAGATCAAGCCCCATGTGGGACTCTGTGCTCAGCAAGGAGTCTGCATAAGGTTCTCTCTCCTCTCCCTCTTCCTCTCCCCCTTCCCCAGCTCTCTCTCTCTCTCAAATAAACAAAGAAATCGGTAAAAAAAAAATTGTCTTTACCTCCATGGGCATCAGTACATGTAGTTATAATTTTATGGAATATAAATGGAGTTAATATTTCTAATCAATCTAAAGTTAGAAAAACTAAGTATATAATTTTATATAAAAAATCACAGTTCATATAACAAATTTATGGTAGATCATCATCCTCCTCAGAAAGTATCATGACTGCCATGGTTTCTCCCTCCTTATTTAACAACTGCTCTACAGTTATCTATATTCTCATTCAGAATTTCAGAGGTTTCCATAGTGATTTGTACCTTTGGGTTCAATAATTACTGATTAAGTGTTAAAAAAAAAAAAGTGGCCACAAATTTCCTTGACTATGGGTATAATCTCTCTAGCATGCTGTGACCAAGCTTCCAAACAAAGAGATTTTAAGATTCCATAATTTAGTACTTAATAATTTAACTTATAATATACTATTAGAAATACTATCAGAAAATCTTTTAATAAAATAATTTGTTAAAAATATATTTCTTTTGCAGATTACCTTGCTTGCTGTATCAGGATGATTAGTCTTGATTTCATATTCCAGCCTGTATTGAATGTAATCCAGATCAGAGTCAGCTTTCTGGAACTAAAGATCAGCACAAATAACATTTTGTGAACCAAAAGATATATTAATAAACATGATATACTGTTAATTATTCTTTCTTTTCTCCTTATATTTTTTAGCATTTCGATCACATGAAGTACACAAATTTTGGAAATATGGAAATAGAAAAGCATATAAAACCTCCATCATCTATAATACCCATGCTCTATTAAAAATTTAAAAACTAGTTAACATTTTAAAAGTTGTTTTTCTATACATCTCTCTTAGATTTAGAGCCAAAATTAAGAGTTCTACTTTGTGGGATGCCTGGGTGGCTCAGCAGTTTAGTGCCTGCCTTTCACCCAGGGTGTGATCCTGGAATCCTGGGACCGAGTCCCGCATCTGGCTCCCTGCATGGAGCCTGCTTCTACCTCTGCCTGTGTCTCTGCGTCTCTCTCTCTGTGTCTCTCATGAATAAATAAATAAAATCATTTTTTAAAAAAAGTACTTAAAAACAAAATAAAACAAAAAATGGCACTTAAAATGTCCTTCAGAAAGGGGCACCTGAGTGGCTCAGTTAGTTGAGCATTTGACTCCTGGTTTTGGCGCAGATCATGATCTCAGGGAAATCCAGCCCTGCATGGGGCTCTCGGAATTTGGCATTTATTTTCTCCCTCTCCCTCTGCTCCTCTCCTTCCCAATAAAATAAATAAAATCTTTTTTAAAAAATGTTTTTCAAAAATGAAGTCTTTATATTTACTTATATAATTGTTAGATTAAACGCTATGATTAAATTATCCAATAATCAGACTTTGTTAAGCAGACTAATAATTACTACACATGTATATGTACGTATATAAAGAAAATTCCTGGGGTACCTGGCTGGCTCAGTCAATAGAGCATGCCACTCTTGATCTCAGGGTTCATGCCACATTGGGCATGGAGCCTACTTAAAAAAAATTTTTTAATTAAAAAAAAAGAAAGAAAAAAATTCCTATTGGCTTAATTTCCCATATTGGAATATGCTCAAGGACAACATTTCTTTTACATTAAAAAAACGTACTAATCTATATAACATTTGGATGGAGATATGAGGAAAGGGACAAGGGAGAGGGCAAACCAAATTAAACAAATTAAACAAAGACTACACATTCAAGACCTAATTTGTTTAATTATTGAAAAAGACTACAGTTCCACAGCTTTATATATAATTGATGATGTTACTTAACAATCTAAGCATAATTTTTTAAGTAACTTCTATTATAATAAGATACCAAAGAGTGTGCTCTCAATCAATGATATGATGGAGTCAGCTAAATTTTCAAAAACGTTTGTAAACCAGTTGTTAAACACAGGCATAACTAAAAATTAAATTATATAAATTTACCAGTAAACCAATTATTAAAAACAAATATATACTCAAAAATCATAACTTCCTAGTGATTTTTACTATATTTTACTATTATATATGCTCTTGATTATCTATTATATGTATATAATGAAAATACTGTATCATGTGCTGCTATGCATGTCTTCCCAACTCCACTTTCAGCGACATCATGCTGGTAGCTTGCAATTAGCCAGCATGGGAATATTTACACCAAGGAAATTGGCAAATGATAAAATTCAGGGCTTTCCACCTCCTTCTACCCCTAGCTGCATTTATATGTATACTTACTTCTGCTTTCAAAAGATTTTTTAAAATTCCTATCCCCCCCACTTAACTAATGTACCCACATTTTTTTGTACCCACATTTTTACTGGAAAAATATTTCAGAAGATAAATTGAATTTTAAACAGACTTTCAAAAACAGGGGGAGAAAGGAATAGGGAGTTATTGTTTAATAGGTCCAGAGTTTGAGTTTGGAAAGATGAAGAAGTTGTGGAAATGGGTGGTGGCTACAGTTGTACAACAATGTGAATGTACTTAATACCACTAAACTATAAACTTAAAATGATAAATTTTGTTATATATATTTTACCACAATTAAAAAATTTAAAAAACAAATGTGAGAAAAACAGCTTGGAAGTAGAATGTAATCCTCTGTGAAGAAATGAACAGAACATTTCATGATAAATACACAGGGAAGTTTTTACTTATTAGTGAAGTCAGTGGGCTAGGGAATAAGCAGGGGGAAAAAAGATAAAAGGATACCAATGTGATGCTGAATATTAGAAAAACAAGATTTTCTGATTTGAACCCTTCATTTTCATATAAACAAAGAAACAATCTAAGTGATTTGCCTCTAGTTCTATTTTCATTACTATGTTTTTTATGCAGTTAGACCAAAGTCTATATATAGTATACATGACATTAAAGCCAGTAAGAGTCTCAGAGATGGGGAAGGGGGGCAGTGTTAAGACTTTACCAAAGGTTTTTTTAAGTTTCAAACCTAATATCACAAGTTAGTCCTTTAAAAAATTCCCTCTGAGAATAACCTGGTAATATAGTCCAGAAAAAAGAAAGTAAAAGAACTGAGATATAATATATGGTAGAAGTTCTAGCCCTGGTATCACTAACAAGCTATGTGGCCTTAGATTAGTCTTCCATCTCTCTGGGTCTCTTCTATTAAATAAAAGAGTTGGAAATCTAAGGTCCCTTCCAACACTAATATTCTTTTATTTCATAATACTAAAAATAAAAACAAGTTTAATTTATCAAAATATTAGAATTTAGAAAAGACAAATTTCCTTCTTCTAAGATATTAAAACTTGACATTTGAGTTTCAGATTTTAATGTTTATAGTTAAGATTTAGCTTCTACTATTTGTTTTCTTCCAAAACAAAGTTGACTGTCATATCAGTTTCAACTATATAATTTCTGCAACCTGCCCATCGTTCTTCCCAAACACCAAAACCCTATAAGCAATATTGCACTACTCAGAGCTATTTACACAGCAGAGACAATATCGATAGGGTTCTAGGATCTGGTCATAAACAGAAAATTTTTTAGTCACGTGGTAGGAAATTTGCTGACCAAATATTATTAGTCTCCAAAATTCATTAGTGGTCTGACTAAGGGAACAAACTAATGCTGATAAACATTATTCACAGCCCTCCTCAGTTATAAATTAGCCTCTTTACGCCTTGTTAACAGTGAGGTTGCTCTTTAATTAACTTTAGCTACCTATCTTATTTTTAGTATTAGAATACTTAAAATTAGTGAAATTGGGGGGCGGAAACACTGAGGGAGAGGGAGAGAAAGAATCTTAAGCAGGTTCCACGCATAGTGTGGAACCCAACATGGCTCTTGATCTCACAACTCTGAGATCAAGATCTGAGCCAACATTAAGAATCAGATGCTTAACCAATTGAGTCACCCAGGCACCCCCAAAATTGGTGAATTTTTTAAAACCCAAGACATTCGTATTTCAGAAACCAGTTTTCTTCTAAATCAGTAATAAAAATAAATGGAAACTTTTATACCCATCTTATGAGTGATAAATTAAATATGCAATTTAGCTGGGTGAAGTCCATTGAAATCAATATTAAAGCCCCCAAAACAGCCAAATTACATTCTGCCAATTGAACACCACCACCACCACCCCTTTTTAAGGATTTTATTTATTTATTTGAGAGAGAAAGAAAGTGAGAGAGCACAAGCCAGGGGAGAGGCAGAGGGAGAAGCAGACTCCCCACTGAGCAGGGAGCCCAATGCAAATCTCAATCCCAGGACCCTGGGAACATGACCTGAGCCTAAGGCAGATGCTTAACTGACTTAGCAACCCAGGTGCCCGCCAATTGAACATCACTGGAAACAGACTGGGACTGTAAGGAAGATACTATATAAACAGGAAAAGGAATAGTTTAGGTAATAATTTTGAGTTTTAGAATATGCTACATATTTTCAAAACATATACTAGAATTATATAATTAGCTTACCACTTTAAGTAAATGGCAAAGGATATTAAACTCCACTCAAGGGGCACCTAGGTGACTCAGTGGTTGAACATCTGCCTTTGGCTCATGGCGTGATCCTGGAGTCCAGGGATTGAGTCTGGCATCAGGCTCCTCGCATAGAGCCTGCTTCTCTGCCTATGTCTCTGCCTCCCTCTGTGGCTCTCATTAATAAATAAATAAAATCTTTTTTAAAAAAATTTAAAAATTAAAAAGTTTATAAAAAAATAATAAACTCCACTCAACTATTTGGCAGCAAGGAGAAAAAAAGAACTCCAGACCAATTTAAAAGAAGAGATGAGAGAAGTTGGTAGAGGTACATTCTAGACTCACTAGCTAGGCTTAGAAATACATTTTCCATAGAAACATCATTGTAAGAGAGAATTAGTCATTTTAATAATACTTCCAGATCTAGGTTAGCAGTAGTATCAAACAAAGAAACTAGTATTTAACAAACACACTCCTTTCTTTTCATTCCCCTCTCTCCAGTGCAGATTTTAAAACACCTTTATTTATTTCTCTAAAATAAGTAAGTAAATAAATCTTTTTTTTTAAAGATTTTATTTATTCATAGAAACACAGAGAGAGAATGAGAAGCAGAGACATAGGCTGAGGGAGAAACAGGCTCCATGCAGAGAGCCCGACATGGGACTCCATCCAGGGTCTCCAGGATCACACGCCCTGGGCTGCAGGCGGCACTAAACCGCTGCGCCACAGGGGCTGCCCTAGTAAATAAATCTTTAAAAAAAAAAAAAAAGTTAAATACATACCTGCAAAAAAATAAAAAATCTACAACATAGGCTTAATACTCATAAAATTGTAGGGTTTTATTTCATTTTGCCTGTCTTCTAATTAAATTACAATGAATATGCATTACATGTATAACTATTTAAAGTACATTTTTTAAGCATAAGTACATTCTATATACTAAGTCACTCTTAAAAATCATTGAGGTTTGGGCACTTGGCTGGCTCAGTCAGCGGGATATGTGTCTTTTGATCTCCGGGCTATAGTTTCAGGACTCACGCTGGTTATAGAGAGTACTTAAAAATAAAATCTTTATTAAAAAAATTTTTTTAAAGATCACTGGGGTTCCCCAATACCTATAGAATTAATTCCAACTCTTAGTATAATTCTTCACAAAATGACATTAACATACTCCCCACCGAGCTTCGCATTTTCTACCTCAGCCAGTGAATATGCGAGGCTAATTTTTAAAATCACTGATCTCTGATAGTGCCTAGCAAACAGCACAGTTCAAATACTATATTGTGTAATATAGAGAATATTGTGAAATCGATAATATTTATAATGTGTATATAAAATACTCATGATAAATCATCTTAAAATTATAAAGTTAGAATATGTCATCAATATGACAACACAGTTACATTCCCAAACTATAGAACACAAATAGTGGACATACTTGAAACAAAAACTTAGTATAAACTTGAGGGAGTACATGTTTGGCAGCAATTCTTACTTATGTATATATACTGAAAAAGAAGTATTAATTTCAAATACTTTCAACCTCTAAATAGCAAATATATTTTTTTTCTTTTTAAGATTTATTTTAGAGAGAGAGAGAGAGAGAGAGCACGAGTGGAAGGAGCAGAGGGAGAGAAACTCAAGCAAACTTCAGGCCAAGTAGGGACCCCAACACAGGGTTCAAGCATAGGACCCTGAGATGGAACCAACAGTTGAATGCTTAACCAACTGTGCCACCCAGGTGCCCCTGGATAGCAGATAGTCTTAAGGGGCCTCTGATCCCATGGGGGCAAAGGTGTACAAATCCCTGCTTACTAGTTAGCAAGCTAATGTATCTCTGTAAATTTTTCTGGTGAGGTGGAGGTCCACTAAGGATCTATGGCATAAAGGAAAAAAAAAAAAGATTAAAAACCATCACTTTAAGAGAAATGTAGCTTCTGTCTTAGTGTCAATGACAAGGTAATGAACATTGGCAAATGAAATGAATGTCTGTACTCCTAGAAGGAGCAGGGGAAAAAATGGAAAGTACAATAAGTACCAAGAGACAGTCTGATTTTTTTGTCATCCAAAAAAAAAGTGTGATTGATTGGAAACCCAAATGCTAAGCATATCGCTAGGTACAAAAAAGGCGGACACTGTCCTCTCCTTATTTGTTTGTTTGTTTATTTATTTATTTATTTATTTATTTATTTATTTATTTATTTATTTATTTATTTATTTTATTCCTCTAGTGCCAGCCTGCTCTAGTAACACTGAAAGTTTGAAGTGCCGTCATTTACAATTAGGCAGATTGAATGGGGAAAGGAAGAATTTATAAAGTTACACATTTCCTAAGAAAAATAAATTGTTCTATAAACTTAAATGTATTTTACAATCACTGTCACTACATGAAAATCTTAGTCAAAACTTAGATTTCCTCAATTATAAAATGAGAACAAAAACACTGAATCAAAGAATCAAGGATGGACTTACTCAAACTTTTAAAATGTTATATATTGAGATAAAATAGAAGTAAAACCTATTAAAGTCAGAGAATAGATTTTATCAGAGATATTCCTGGGGCCCCTTAGTGGCTCAGTCAGTTAAGCATCTGCCTTCAGCTGGGGTCATGATCCCAAGGTCCCTGAGTGGGCTTCTGCCTCTCTCCTTCTCATGCTTTTGTGCTCTCTCTCTCTCTCTCTCTCTCTCTCTCTCTAAATAAATAAATAAATAAATAAATAAATAAATAAATAAGTAAAATATTTTAAAAATAAGAGATTCTTAATATTGATACTTTGTACTATATATATATATATATATATATATTAAAGATTTTATTTATTCATGAGACACGCAGAGAGAAGCAGAGACACAGGCAGAGGGAGAAGCAGGCTCCATGCGGGGAGCCTGATGCGGGACTCAATCTGGGGACTCCAGGATCACGCCCTGGGCTAAAGGCAGGTGCTAAACCAGTGAGCCACCTGGGCGTCCCTACTTTGTACTATAATTGCGTAACAAAGGTAAGATATTTTTTGTTTCAAAACCTAAAATTTCCCACTTGACTTTAAATGAATTCAAATGTATGGTCTTTCATGTACTATTATTGAAATTGAAGATGTGTTAATATCAAAATACAGTTCAAGGCAGAAGAAACCTTCCTTCTCCTCACCATCTGGTACATTTTTTTTTATTCTTATTCTACTAATACATAATCTTTTACCCAGAAAACTTAATGGTTGTAAAGCTCTGGATAGAAAGAAGACTCAAGTGATATATCTAAAAAGAAATGCATTACATTGTTAACAATTCACCTTTTTTTTTAAGTGGCTCCATGCCCAATGTGGGGCTTGAACTCCGGACCCTAAGATCAAAAGTCTCATGCTCGGGCAGCCCGGGTGCGTCAGCGGTTTAGCGCCGCCTTCCACCTGGGGCGTGATCCTGGAGACCCACCCACTCCCTGCATGGGGCCTGCTTCTCCCTCTGGCTGTCTCTGCCTCTCTCTATATGGGTCTCTCACGAATAAATAAATAAATCTTAAAAAAAAAAAGTTGCATGCTCTACTGACTAAGCCAGCCAGGTGCCCCTCAATTCACTTCTTTAAAGAAATGAGGTCCTCAAATTAAGCAGTTTTCTTCCCTCAGTCCCTCACCACGTAATATCCTATATTATTAAAAAACACAAAATTCTACCCAAGTGCTTAAATATAAATAGCCCAAGAGAGAATGGTAGGAAATTAAAAGTCAAAGAGGAAAACAGCCACATTTAAGCTAAGAGAGATAACTCAGAATGTCTTTATATATAAAATTTGGGAACAAAATGGTTTTCTCCCAAGCAGTCATGTTCTTCATTCCCTACCAAATGATGTCCTTGAGTCCATGCCTAATATCTCAGATCCTTTTTTCCTTCTGGTATCCATTCTCCTGGCTTTTAAGGACATTTGCTTAACAAATAGCTTACTTTTTTTTTAATTTCTGAAATTTATTTAGGATATGTTATAACAGTTCTTGCTCTACTGTTAAGATATAGAGCAGAAATAGAAATCACACTAAGCAGGTTATGAAAAATTTATAAACAAGACCTATACACTAAAAACTACAAAACACTATTGAAAGGAATTTTAAGACCTAACAAATGGAGACATAACGTTCAAGCATTAGAGAACTCGTTATTATTAAACTTTCCCAAATTCCCCAAATTATTCTCTAGATTCAACAACAATCCCACCCAAAATCTCAAAAAGCTTTTTTTTTTGTTTTTGGTAGAAATTGACCAAAACCAAAACCTTATTTGGAAATGCAAAATATTAAAATAAAAATAAAAATAAAAATAAAAAAATTTAAAAAATTAAAAATTAAAAAATAAATAAAATAAAAAATTTAAAAAAATAAAAAAAGGAAATGCAAAATAATTTAAAAGTTTCAGAAAACAAGGGCAAAGTTTGAGGCCTTACACTAGATGATTTCAAGACTTACCATACAAAGACAAACCATAAGAGACTCTTAACTTTAGTAAACAGATTCAGGGTTGCTGGAGGGGATGGATATCCAGTTATCATCCATAATTGGATGGCAGGCATTAATTGGATGACGGGCATTAAGAAGGGCACTTAGTAAAATGAACACTGAGTGTTATATGCAACTGATGAATCAGTTCTACCTCTGAAGCCAATAATTAAAAAAAAAAAAAAAAAAAAGACTTACTCTAAAGCAACAGCAACCATGACAGTATATGACATAATGGAATAAAACTGAGCTCAAAAGTCAGTAGAGCATGCGACTTTTGATCTCAGGGTCCTGAGTTCAAGCCCCACATGGGGCATGGAGTCACTTAAAAAAAGGGTTAATTGTTAACAATGTAATGCATTTCTTTTTATTTATTTTTATTTATTTTATTTTTTTAAGGGGGCTGTAAGAAATAATCACTTTATTCAATATTATAGTTGTGGAAATGGGAGTATATTTTCTTTAAGAAATGAAAAACTAAGAAGAAAATGCCACTAAACATCATTGGTGTGCCAGTACAGGCCAGCAGGAGAAATACTGTGAGAAGTTTGTCTCTTTGATACCAAGAAGACAATTCTAGTTCAAGCTTTAATATGATTCCTATTTCTCAAGAGATGCTTCTTTTCTGCTGCTTCACTCTTTTTCCATATTTCACATCAGAGGATTGGTACGGCCTTTAAAACTTCATTAACAGGAGCAAATCCAATATCTACAGATTTTTTTGTCAAAAGGCATTTTTTAACCCATCAGGTAGCCCGGCAGTTTCATTTTCATGAATACTCTAGCCATGAAAAAACTCAATAGGACACAGACGAATCCAACGAATAGAAGTAGAAATCTACTGAGTTTTGGAATGTTTGGTGCATTCGATCGGTCCAGGATTATGCAACCTAAACCTCCCATTGTAAACAGGAAGCTGGATGCAAGTCCTTCCATAATATATTGTCCATTTACTCTGTAGGCCAAGAAAGCTACTGGTCTCTGATGTCCATGTTCATCAGTCATAGTACCAACACCTGGAGGTTCAACAATAACATCATAAATTATTCCTCCGGTGATGAGGAAGTAAGACACCACCACCAGAGCACACACCGTCATGGCCGACCACATGTGCACCCAGGGCGGCTTCTTCAGCTTCAGGTTGGGGCATTCGAGCACTGAGAACGCGACGCGGTACAAGATCTCCATGTTGGTGGCGGCAGGGCTGCATTTCTTTTTAGATATATCATTGAGTTTTCTTTCTATCCAGAGCTTTACAACCATTAAGTTTTCTGGGTAAAAGATTATGTATTAGTAGAATAAGAATAAAAAAATGTATCAGATGGTGAGGAGAAGGAAGGGTGTCTGGGTGGCTCGGCTGGTTCTTGATTTCAGGTTAGATCACAATCTCAGGGTTGTCAGCACAGTCTGCTTGAGGTTCTTTCTCCCTCTTCCTCTACCTACCCCTCCCCACACACACATGTTCATGCTCCCTCTTTCTCTCTCTTTCAAATAAATAAAATCTTTAAACAAACAAACCACCCCATACATACATGTTCAAATGATTTGTTACAAAGGAACTAAGGGGGTACGCCTGGGTGGCTCAGCAGCTGAGTGCCTGCCTTCAGCCAAAGGGCATGATCCTGGAGTCCCAGGATCAAGTCCCACATCTGGCTTCCTGCATGGAGCCTGCTTCTCTGCCTGTGTCTCTGCCTCTCTCTCTGTCTGTCTCTCATGAATATATAAACAAAATCTTAAAAAAAGAAAAAAAGGAGGTAAGGGTAATTCAACAGGAAAATGATAGTCTTTTCAACAAATGGTACCAGAAAAAAAGGAATATCCATATGCAAAACAAATAAATAAATAAATAAAAAGACTTTCTACCCTCACTTATATCACATACAAAAATTACCTCTAAATGGACAGAGATAGGGCACCTAGGGAGGCTCAGTGGTTGAGCGTCTGCCTTCAGACTCGGGTCATGATCCCAGGGTCCTGGGATCAAGTTCCACACTGAGATCCTCATAGGGAGCCACTGCCTATGTCTCTGCCTCTCTCTCTGTGTCTCTCATGAATAAATAAAATCTTTAAATAAATAAATAGAGATATAAATGTAAAAAATAGGGTGTGTGGTGGCTGAGTTGGTTAGATGCCCAACTCTTGGTGTCAGCTCAGGCCAGAATCTTGGGGTCCTGGGATTAAGCTCCATGTTAGGTTCCACACTCAGCAGGGAGTCTTCTTCTCCTGTCCCTCTCCCTCACACTGCTCATCCAATCTCTCTCTAAAATAAATAAATAAATTTTTAATAAATGTAAAAACTAAAACTATAAACCTTCTAGAAGAAAACATTTGTGGACCTTGAGTTAGGCAAAGATTTCTGAGATAAAACACAAAAAGCATAATCCATAGCAGAATAGATGTATAAATTAGACTTCATCCAAATTTTTTATGTGAGAGGGCAAATAACAGAAAAAATTTAAAGACTCTTGCAATAGTTAAAAAGACAAACATTTCAATTTAAAAATAGGCAAAAGATTTCAACAGGTATTTTACTAAAGAAGATATTCCAACTGCAAATAAGCACATGAAAAGATATTCAATATCATTAACCACTAAAGAAATGCAAATTCAAACTATAAGGAGATATCACTATACAACTATTAGAATAGCTAAAATGAAAGGTCTGATGCGATTGAGTGACTCTTGATGTTGGCTCAAGTCATGATCTCATGAGTCATGGGATCGAATCCCACATTGGGCCTTATACTTGCTGTGTGTGGAGTCTGCTTGGGATTCTCTCTCTCCCTCTCCCTCTGCCCATCCCACTGGTGCTCAATCTCCCTAAGATAAATTAATTTAAAAAAAAAAAAAAAAAGGATGCCTGGGTTGCTCAACAGTTTGGCGCCTGCCTTCAGCCCAGGGCTTGATCCTGGAGTCCTGGGATCAAGTCCCACATCTGGCTTCCTGTATGGGGCATGCTTCTCCCTCTGCCTGTCTCTGCCAATCTCTCTCTCTTTATGTCTCTCATGAATAAATAAACAAAATCTTAAAAAAAAAAAAAAAAGACTGACAATACTAAGATACAGAATGTTGGTAAGAATGTGGAGAAACTGGAACTCTAAATCATAGCTTTGGTAAAGATTTTAGTGGTTTTTTATGAGATGAAACACGTATTTTTATCACACTAACCAAGAGAAACAAAAACATTATGTCCAAACAAACAGAATACAATGTTTATAACAACTTTATTCATAATAGGTAAAACCTGGAAACAACCCAAAGTCCATAATCTGGTAAATAGATAAATAATTTGTAATAGTCTATACCAATGAAATACCACTCAGCAATACAAATGGTCCAACTAGTAATATGCACAACAATGTGGGTGAATCTCAGACGCCCTGTACTAAGTGCAGGAAGCCAGGCATAAAAAACTGTAAGCCATAAATGATCCCATTTACCTTAACTTCTAGAAATGGCAAAACTAGAGATCAATGACTGTTAGGGAGTTTGGGAAAAGGAGGTTGACTACAAAGGGGTATAGGGGACTTTAGGTGATAGAAATGTTCTATCATTGGTGGTTACATCACTGCCCACATTTGTCAAAATTCATCAAATCGTGCAACTAAAATTGTTGTAATTTTATTTTATGTAATTGTAAGTTTATTGTATGTAAATTATATCTCAAAACTGATTACAAAAAAAGTAACGGATTCACATTTTATTCTGTTTCATAATTACAAAAAAAGAACTTTAAAACAAGCATTCTTAGTTTGAAATTCAAGGATGAACTATATTGTACACAAAATTAACACCAATTAAGATTTGGAGCAATTTATCTTATGAAATATACAGCAGAGATTGTTTTCATTACTAATTCATCTTAAAACTCAAAGAAAACTCAAGATTTGCCAGAATCTATCCAGATCTATTACAGAAAGAAGAAAAATACAACTACTCACTTAAACAAGCCATAACAACTTCAACTATAAAAAGTGTTATTTAAAAAAAATTGTTATTTTAATGCATTTCAGCATTAATTACGATAGTGAGTTTTTAACTAGTTAAAAGAAAAAAAAAGGTTTTGTTTTTTTTTTCAAATTAGGACTTCCTAAAACATATACTTTGGGTAATAAAATTATATACTTTTCAGCAACAAGGATTATCATAAATTACTCACAGATACTGAAGAAAGATGTAAAGCAAGAATCAAAATTCTGGTGTGCATTCTGCTTTCAGATGCTTTGACAATACTATTGCACTGCTAGCTGTAAAGTACAGTAGTGCAATAAAGTCAGAGCATTCGTTAGCAGAAATTGGTAGGAAAGGAACACAAAAGCATCTTGCATCAGTTGAAGCTTCAATGTGAAAAGAATTTAAAGAAGGGTTGCCATTTTGGACAGAAAACATCCAAAACCTAAGAACATGTATATCAATGTTAAAAAGAAAGAACTGAACTTAAATATCAAAATAATAGTTTTCTGATGACTAACTTACGATTAATATTCAACAGAAACATAGAGAAAGGAATTTTGTAAATACGTCCTAAGCTTTGGAAGTTATTAACATGGGTATTGTTACTACCTTAAGACTAGTATTAACAAAACCGGTTATAATTACTACCAAGGCAAAGTCGTGAAAACTACGTTTTGCTGAAATGTGTTGTTCAGCTCCCCCATTGAAACTGACTGATTAAGTAAGCATATCAGAGAAAACAAATGAAAAGTAAAATAAGTTTCCTCAATCTCTAAATAATCTTTCTGGAATCTAAACTACAATAAACTAAAAAGCTCTTAACCATCTTATGGCTTCTTACCTCAAAAGTTTACAGACTCCCAGGAAATTAATGTCCTAAATAAGACGCTACCTAAGGGAATACTATGGAAGGGGATTTTAAGATTTCAATTAACCCCTAAAGATCTGAAATATAGGAAGAAATCATCTCTATTTCCTCATATGTACAAAAATCACAGAAGAAATAATAATGGTACAGAGGGAGGTTCTGAGATTTATGAATAAGGTTTTCTTGGATTCAAGCCAACTATCATTATCCTAACCTTTTAACTGGTAAGAAACCATTTATATGTCAGATATAAACCCAGAAATAGAAATAGTATCACAGTATCCCACTGTACTTTTGTGCACTATCACTAGTGGTACCTTAAAAGAACACTAGGCAAATACCACTTGAACCAGTAAGTGAAAGGAAAAAAGACAACAAAGATTACACTACAATGAGCTTATTCCTCCCTTAATAATGTTGATTGATGCAAAAATACTCTCCATTACTTTCACTAAACTAAATAAGTCTAGTTCAGCTACTTAGATTCAACCCCCTAAAAAATAAATTAAGGATAGCTGGAACATGAGTAAGTGACTTGACCTCAAATCCTAGGCCACATAACTCAGGTATTAGAATAGTTCAATTCTACTAGCCAAGGATCAGGTTTTAAAGATAAGTGCTTCAGAGACAAATGTTTAATTTTCTGGACTAGAAGTTAATTCAAACAAGAAAAATATGAAATATTTTAAAAATGAGAACCAGACTGACTACAAAATTAGAATAAGTACTTTCTTTTCAAAGTTAAATAGTATCCACTCTCTTTCATTTATTAAATTTTTAACATTAGTTCTTCAACAAATCCTTTATTTGAGTAATGTAGAACCAAAACTCAGTGAAGTGTATAGGAAATTATTTCTTTCCAATCTTACAAACTAAACCATAATAAACCAGTTCATAGATACATTTTAAAGCACATGGCAAATCTGAAGATGAGACATAACCATCTTTTACTATCCAGTCAAGAGAAAGCAGTAACAACAAAACTATAATAGTTCAAATACATTTTTTTAAACCCAGATGATTATGGAAACAAACTAATAACTTTAAGGGGGGGGGGGGAAGGCTACTATTAGGTTACCTGCAAATAATTTAAGACTTGCTTTCTTCTCATCTCTTAAAAAGAATTTTTAAAACTACCCCATTATTCAAACACCTAAAAGCTTAAGAATCTTGCTATCTTATAATTTTCTAGAACTTTTTTTCAGGATGTACACTCAATCATTTTCTTCTTAAATTAAAATGTGCTCAATCTAAAAAAAAAAAAAAAGTACCGTGAGAATATTGACTTTCATGCAAAGTCCAAAAAAGTCTTAATTGGTACCTCAAAAATAAACAGCCAACTTGAGGGGGGAGAAAAACTGCTAAAAGCAGAATTACTACCATTTACCATCTTACAATTAGGCAGAAATATCCATCCAAAGGGAGGAATTCAGAATGGGGAAAGGAGCAAGACACTTAAACATTTATGCCTGTTGACAGAATCAAACTAGGATACTTGACATGTTTTTGGTTCTTTTGTTTCTTTGTTTAAAGACAGTTAATTATAAAAAAATAATAATAATAACAAAACTTTAAGCTAAAAGTTCATTATTACAGATTTGGAAAAGGGCAAAAAATTCTTCCTTCTTCACTGCCATCCCCGCCTCCATGCCATCCCCCACAGACTCTCACAAAGAAAATTAAAACTCAAAATTGTTATAATCAACCGAAAGCCTTCAAATCAAATTTATATATGATAGGCACTAAAATTCATGAATACATCAAAAGAAAATAAGATATATCAAGCTCTCACATTTTCTAGAGGTGGGAATGGGGGTGAGTGTGATACTCAATTTCTTCCAGGATCACAAGTGTGGATGTTAAAGTGACCCAAGGTTCAGCCTGGAGAGAACAGCACTGGCCACAAATGATACCTAAGCTGTAATGCCAGGGGTTGGGTAGGGGGGTAGCGGATTACGATGGAGGAGAAAGATTTGAGCTTTTTTTACTTAACTTTGTTATTTTTAACAACAACAACAACAAAAAAAAAAAAAAACCCGACAGGTGTTCAATGATGGGCGCGTCCTCCAAACTCCGCATTTTAAGGAAAGCCAGCCCAATCCAAACATAATGCAAGGGGCAAAGGGCTGAAGATAGAACAAGGGGAACTAAGAAGAAAAAAGCGCGGGCGACCAAGCTGGTAGTCTAAGAATGGGAGGAAGGGAATAAAGAGGACAAGTAACGGAAGGATCCACAGACGAAAACTAGGACAGCCCTTCAGCTTGGCGCCCCCAAGCAGGCCTAGAAGCAGCGGGAGTCCTTTCCAATTATTCGCCTCCGCCCCCTACTTTCATAAATGAATGAAATTCGACAACTCAAAGGTAGGATGCCTTCCATGTCCCAATTCCTCCCATGCTTCAAGAAAGAGCCTGAGGTTCATTCAGGTCCCCGTCGCTCACATCTCTCCCCCACCCAAGGAATGCCACCTTCGAGCCGAACAGAAATTGGTCTTGGGGCTTCTTTGGCCGCTAGGAAGTTATGCACTCAAGTCTAGAACCTTTCTCAGACTTTCTCAGCCCCTCTGAGAGAACGTGAACCGCTCTGCCCTAATGGGATTTCTCTCCGCCCCCCTCCGTTGATTCCCCACCCCACCCTCCATCCCCCTTCCTCGGAGTGTGAACCTCTCCCCTTCTAGGAGCGCACGGGGATCATTCCAGTCACGTCTTTTTTGGGGGGGAGGGGGGGAATGCATAGAACACTGCCTGCACGAGCCACAGCTCCTTGACGCGCGGAAAGGTAAGAACAAGGAACAAGGAATTCCAAAGGCCCGGCTACCTCAGCATCTCCCGCCATTTCCCTCACGAGTTTCCCGGATGTAACCCCTTCCCCCGCGGCGGTTAAAAGAGACCAAGCAACGGTGACTCCCTTTGATACAAGAGGAAAGAACTTGAATATGGTCCAGCTTCTGCAGCCCAGGGTTTCCGGCGACGCAAAATTGCCTCCCACCTTGGAGGCCATCGGGAGAAATAAACTACCCAGTAGATCTCCTTCACTTTCCACTCACCATCAGTTCCAGCTTATCGACCTCCGCCTCCATGTTGAATAGTTGACATTCCTCAGACCGCGGCGGTGCTTAAGCCGCAAACCGTACTAGCACTGAAGGTCCCTATTGGACAGCTGTCACTCAACGTCTCGCACTCATTGGTTCCTCTGCTACACTGGCGCCCGCCCATTGGCGACTGGGTAACGCCCCTCCACATGAAACACCTTCACCAGTTGGGCAGAGACACAAAACGCTGCAGGAGGATTGGCTGCTGTATACTTTTTCTTTTCCATTGGCTGCACCCTCATCTCCACTTTCAATTTCATAGTTAGGGCTCCGCAGAGAAGAGCTTCCGATTGGTACAACCGGAAGAGGAGCCAACCAATGACACAGAAGCTTCCACAGGCAGCATAGGGGACGTGACACACCTTCTTAGGTCTCCTGCTTCCCCTCCCCTTCGCTCCCGCCTTCCACTTATTCATACAAGAAGCGCCTCAGCTTTCATTGGCCAGTGCCCGGTGACCTCTTAGCCAATCACAAACCAGGCTGTGCCCCTACTCTACCCGGAGAGCGAATCGTGGAGAGACGTCTGCTACCATTGGTCCCTCCGTGATAAGGTTTTAATTTTGAATCTTTCTTTACAGCGAAGGAGAGGCCACTACCCGGACTCCATCTAATCCCGGGCTCTTAGACTTGTAAGTGCAGGGAGATCTCCCTTTGTTATCTGGACTCGCATCTTCAGTAGCTCGGCCTGTTGCTGCTTGTGTTCTTAACATTTAACGGAGGTGGGGGCTTTGGCTGGACTCGGCAAGATAGAATTGGGAAGAGGAGGCTTGAGGTTGGGTAAGAAGCGCTCGGCCTGACTCCACCCTAACCATACTTGTATTTAGTTAACACTCTGCAAAAATATGTTCTGGAGTGAAGCATCTAACTTCTTTTGCACATTCCTTTTTATCTTTGCTATTCGGCGTTGTCCGGGGACCAGCAGCATCTGCATCACTTGGGCACTTATTAACGATGCAAATTATCGGGCTCCACCCAGACCCACTGAATCATAATATAAATTTTAACAAGAGCCCCCACCCCCATAATTCTTATGCACGCTAAAGTTTGCGAATATACGTTTCTTGACATGCAATATTATTATATTCCTTGATATGCTTTTAATATCGGCTGACGTTTTACAAGAGTGTCAGAAAGTGTTCCCTGTTTACTTATGCCTAATACTGTGCTGGACTACGTTTTAGGGAGCTGCAGTCTATTTAGAGAATAAGACAGGAACTAAAAAAGCAATGTTGCACAGCGTAGAACAAAAGCAAATATAATCAATTTCCAGAAATAGTCTATGAATGTTCAAGAGTAATGAATTGAACTAGTAATGGAAATTGACTAATTGACTGGAAGCTGTTTATGGGAAAGTGTAAGAAACCTACATAAAAATGTGTTTTACAAGAGGGTAATGAAATGCAAATGTGTTTTACAAGAGGGTAATGAAATGCAATTGTCATTTTCTTTGCTGTCACGGTTTTGAAAATATTGCCTGACGAAAAGCACTTTTATCACAGAGAGGAGTTTTAATAGAAGCAGCAGTGCCAACTCCTGCAGAAGACTGTAATTATTATTACTCTATTATTTATTGCATTTTCCTAGTGGACATAGTTTTGGAGCCATCCTTTAACCATGTGAAGGTGCAGTATGATTTGAAGAACTAAAAACCTCCCTCACTAAGAGATTTTTCCAAAATGTACTTGTAGTAAAGCATATTCCTTAGGAGACCACTTTCTAGCTAACACTTAGCAAGAATGATTTTTTCATTAATTTGTTGAAAGAAATTTATTTAGTGCCTGCTACACTCTTGGCCCCAAGGAAACAAAGATGAATAAAATTTATCCTAATCTTGAAAAGCCCCCAGTCCAGCTGGGTGACAAACATGCAAAAAAAAAATTACAATGCAATGCAATAAATGTTATAATTAGAGTATGTATAAAGTGCTATAGAAGCACAAAAGGAATGACATTTTCAACCAGTATAAATTCCATAAGAACAGAGACTATGTTGGCCTTGTTTGGAATTGTATTCCAAAACCTATCACCTCTACCTATCATGGTGGATGATCAGCCCTCAACAAATACCTGTGAGAAAAAGTAACAGCATCTTGGAGCTATATAAGTTGACCTGAACGAGGATACCCCAAGCAGAGGGAAAGGCTGATAGATAACTATACAAGAGAATGTTTTTGGTGGGGGGCGCCTGGGTGGCTTAGCCAGGTAGGTGTCTGCCTTTGGCTGGGGTATATCAAGCTCCACATTGGGCTCCCTGCTCAGCAGGGAGCTGGCTTCTCCCTCTCTGCTTGTGCTCTCTCTGTCAAAGAAATAAATAAAATCTGAAAGACAGAAAGAGAAAGAAATAATTAATTTGGTGTTTGGTATATCTCAAGTATAAACCGCAATCGCTAGAAAGGATGAAACTGCAAAGACCCATCAGACTAAATTGTGACAATCTATGAAATGTATGGTAAGGAATTTAGTTTATCCAGGACATAAAAAGGAATCTTCAAACATTATTAAGCAAGGGAATATCAGGATCTTTTTCTTTTTTTTAACTAACAGCTGTGTAGAAAATGACTGGCAAGGAGAAAGACAGAAGGCAAGAGGATCATTAGAGGAATATTCAGAAAAACTCAAACTAAGGAACATTTTCCAAAACAACTGGTCTGGAGTTTTCAAAAATATAAATAGGAAGGAAGGCAGATACTTACATGAAGAGACTAGGGAACTGTTGTGAATTAAAGGAGAACAAAAAGACACAACAGTTAAATGCTGTGTGGAAAGGGAAAGGGAGTAGCTGTAAAAGATATTATTGAGGTAATTATGGACTGCTTATTAGACAATATCAAGGTTAAATTTCCTGACTGTGATTGTGGCTTTGTAGGAGAATGTCCATGTCTATATCCATGTTAGGAAACTTAAGTATCTAGACGTGAAGTATGATGTCTGCAACTAACTCTGCTCAGACAAAAACTAAAAACTGTTATCATGTATGTGTATATATGTATGTTATATATATAAATGCATGTATATCTATCATATTTTTTTATTCTGAAAAATTTCAAACTTTGTGAAAATTTACAAAAATAGTGTAATTGATACTCCTATTATTTACCTAGATTCATCAGTTGCTGTCTTTCTATTCAGGGGTGTGTATGCGTGTGTAATATATAATATATGTATAATATATAAAATTATATAAAATATAAGTTTATATATTACATATACTTATACAAATAACATATAGTGTATAATACATATACACACACCATAACAGAAAGAAAATTAACAGATAACAATTGGTGAATCTAGGTGAATAATAGTATTTTCTCCAGAATTAACGTGATATTTGATTTTTTATTTTTTTATTTTTTATTTATTTTTTCTATTTAAAGATTTTATTTGGGACACCTGGGTGGCTTAGCAGTTTAGTGCCTGCCTTCCGCCTAGGGCGTAATCCTGGAGTCCCAGGATCGAGTCCCATGTCTGGCTCCCTGCATGGAGCCTGCTTCTCCCTCTGCCTGTGTCTCTGCCTCTCTCTTTCTCTGTGTCTCTCATGAATAAGTAAATAAAATCTTTAAAAAAAAGATTTTTAAAAAATTACATTAAAAAAATAAAGATTTTATTTACTTATTCATGAGAGACACAGAGAAAGAGAGAGGCAGAGACACAGGCAGAGGGAGAAGCAGGCTCTCTGGGAGGAGCCTGATGCAGGACTCAATCCTAGGACTCTGGGATCACAACCTGAGCCAAAGGCAGATGCTCAATCACTGAGCCACCAGGCCCCCTATTTGTTTTTTCTTGAAGTATAGTTGGCACACAATGCTACATTTGTTTCAGATGCTGATATATGAGTGTTAATTATACTAATATAATTTTTCTCAAAGTTTGAAATTTTTAAAAATTGGGACGCCTGGGTGGTTCAGGGTGTGATCCCCAGATTGAGTTCCCACATCAGGCTCTCTGCAGGGAGCCTGCTTCTCCCTCTGCCTATGTCTCTGCCTTTCTCTTTCTCTGTCTCTCATGAATAAATAAATAAATCTTTAAATAAAAACAAAAAACAGTGGGATAAATAGACTATAGCAAAACTAAAAAGGGGGAAAGATGGCAAAGGCAACTGAAATTAGGAGAGAAAGGGGAGGGATGGTGAGAAGAGATAGGGTGAATTAATCAGATAAATATTTCCAATTCATGTATATGAATATATGTATATAAGTGGAATATATATAATATATATTTTATATTCTATAATGGAGTATCCTAATTTCCTCACCTACCTTTTTTTGCGTGTGGTAGTACAGATTGTTTTTAATCGGCTTTAAATTCCTTTCAAAACAAGGCACGTACAAAGGAAGGAAAAGTACTTTTCAATAAAAAAGGAAAAATGCTTTGAGTAATCATGAAAGAAAAGGGGCACCTACGTGGCTCAGTTGGTTGAGCATTGACTCTTGTATTTGATTCAGGTTCTGATCTCATGGCTTATGGGATGGAGCCCTGCATCTGGCTCAGTGCTCAGCTGGAGTCTGCTTGGATATTCTCTCCCTCTGCCCTGACCCCTCTTGTGCCTTCTCTCTCTCTCTCTTTTTCAAATAAATTAATTAATCTTTAAATTAAAAAAAGAAAACATGAAAAAAAGAGCTTCTATCTAGAGTTAATAGTGGGAATCCCACCTAGCCCAGCAAAAAGAATGTGTATGTCTCATTACTCTTACGGAAAGGGAACAAGTATATGTGTTTTAACCTTGAGGAAGACTGCTATATATCCTTTCAGAGAATCATCCTCTGTGTAATATTTAATGATTTTAATAAAACAGTGATAATAGGGCAGCCCGGGTGGCTCAGCGGTTTAGCACTGCCTTCAGCCTGAACCTGGAGACCTGGGACCAAGTCCCGCGTCAGGCTCCCTGCATGGAGCCTGCTTCTCCCTCTGCCTGTGTTTCTGCCTCTCTCTCTGTGTGTGTCTCTCACGAATAAATAAATAAAATCTTAAAAAAAAAAAAAACCAACAGTGATAATAAAACAGACTTTAGCTTGTTGAATGGAACACTAATCTAAGAATTATCTCAGGTTGCACCTTTTTACCCTTATAGATTTGACATGTTCTATCAATTCTCTGCCTGTGCCAATTACTGTATTTAATTAGAAGTTTAGTAGAGTAACAATGACCCAGAGTCAAGGACACACACACACACATTTACACACGGAGAGAAGAGAAATGAAAAAATATGATTTAGTTCTTTTTTTTCATTGAAAAATAATCTCCAAAATGACATACATCAACTTGTGTGTAGGACTCTTTAGAAATTCTAATGCATGGGCATGTCCAGGAAAGGGATAGAGAAGGCCCAGTTTCAGAATGACAGTATTCTGTTTTTCTAGCTAATAATATATACCAGAGTTTAATATATATATATATATATATATATATATATATATATATATATATAAAGAAAAAATATATATATAAGTATATATATATACATATATATATACACACACACATATATATATATATATAAAGAAAATATATATATATATATAATTGGTGGCCTGTGTTCTGGGAGCTGAGCTGAGGAAAGGGATTGAGAAGTCTTTTCAGTTCAGGATCATCCCCTATCTTCCAAATGATGATACAAATATGACTCTGCTATGGCTATGCCTGATGGCCTACAATTCAGCACCTCTATGGTTTGACTTATCCATCTTTACTGGAGAAGACATGACTGCCAGGAGCTGCCTGGCTAAGGACTGGAAAACAGACTCAAGAGGCCTATCTAATCCTTATAACGATTTCATTAGGGGCAGCCTGGGTGGCTCAGCGATTTAGCACCACCCTCAGTCCAGGGCGATGCTGGAGACCCGAGATCGAGTCCCGCGTCAGACTCCCTGCATGGAGCCTGCTTCTCCCTCTGCCTGTGTCTCTGCCTCTCTGTGTGTGTGTGTCTCTCATGAATAAATAAATAAAATCTTAACAAAAAAAAAGTAAAAATGTTTAAAAAATAAAGAAAAATATACTCACCACTCCTTGACTGTCTTTTTTTTTTAAAGATTTTTATTTTTTTTAATTGGACTTCAATTTGCCAACATATAACATAACACCCAGTGCTCATCCCACCAAGTGCCCCCCTCAGTGCCCATCACACTGTTGACTGTCTTTTTTTGTGATGTTCCAGAAGGGATTGGGCTAATATGTGCTAATAAATGTTTAGTAGATATATATGCATAATTTTATTATAAATTAACTGCTATCTAGTAATGATACATTTATTATAAACAATAACAAAATATATACTGTTTTTTTAAGACTTTATTCATGAGAGACACGGGGGCGGGGGGCGGCGATAGGGGGGGCGGCAGAGACACAGGGAGAGGGAGAAGCAGATTCCATGCAGGGAGCCTGACGGGGACTCGATCCTGGGACTCCAGGATCACGCCTTGGGCCAAAGGCAGGTGCTAAACCACTGAACCACCCAGGGATTCCCTATACTGTTCTTTTTTATTAAGTAAGTTTTATACCCAACGTGGGATTTGAATTCACAACCCTGAGATCAAGCATCACATGCTCTACTAACTGAGCCAGCCAGGCACTCCTATAATGTTCTTTCTTATAAATTTCATAAACAGTTGATTCTTAAAGAGTACTATTGTTGATTTTTACAGACTTCTCATATCTGTAGCCAAGCTACGGTTCCAATTTTTTTTTTTTTTTGTAAGATTCTATTTATTTATTTTAAAGAAAGAGAGCAAGTAAGGGGAGGAGCAGAGAAAAAGGGAGAGAATCTCAAGCAAACTCAGAGCTGGGCATGGAGCCCACTTGGGGCTTGATCTCACAACCCAGAGATAATGACCTTAGGTGAAACCAAGAATTGGTTGCTTAATCGACTGAACCACCCAGATGCCCTGCTATGGTTCCAATTTATAAATAAGTATAGTCCTAATAGGAATGTCAGTTGATCTTTTCATTTACTCTATGGAATAAGATAAAGTGAAACATTCCAATAAAGATTTTTATTGGAACTTCAGTTATGTAAGAATAAGCAACTTCTTTGGTGAATAAAACAATTGTTTTCAAATACTGGAATAGTGGGACACCTGGGTGGCTCAGTGATTGAGCGTCTGCCTTCAGCTCAGAAGCTGGGATGGAATCCCACATCGGGCTCCCCGTGAGGAGACTGCTCCTCCCTCTACCTATGTCTCTGCCCCTCTCTCTCTGTGTCTCTCATGAGTAAATAAATAAATCTTAAAAAAAAAATACTGGAATAGTTCTCAATTTTTTTATGCTTTTCACAATGTAACAACTACAACAAGATACTTTTTTAAAAGATTTTATTTATTTATTTGAGAGAGATCCTGTGCACAAGCAAGGGGGAGGGGCAGAGGGAGAGGGAGAAGCATATTCCCTCCTTAGCAGGGAGCAGGTCTTGGGGATTGATCCCAGTACCCTAGGATCAAGACCTGAGCTGAAGGCTGATGCTTAACGGACTGGGCCACCCAAAATATGCTTTTAAATCTAATCTGCATCATTAACATTTTTTTATCAGTCACTTAACAATCAACAATATAATGAATCAAGCTCTGATTTGTAGTGTGTTGTAATATCCAAGGTGTAAATACTCCCATCATAGACAATTTCAAGTTTTTAATGTGAAGTCACTGAATGTGGAATTGGAAAAAAATGAGCATTTTATAGCATTTTCACTATATAGATACAATAAGATAAACAACCTCAAGAGCATAGATAATAGTAAAATAATTAGGAAGTGATGAGTTTTGTATCATATTTATTACCATTTTAAATATAAATTATCTAATTATAAGTTTACATAATTTAATGGTGGATGTGTTTAACAACTTAACTCACAGACTTCCTGAAAATGTAACAGTTGGTGCCAACCCCAATACACCACTGGAGTAGAGACAAAAGTATAGCCAATCTACCAAGTTTAAACCGTAATGTCCAGCTCTTTTCTAAAATCTATTTTTATAACTGAAGGATTGGTGAATATAAAGAAAAAAGCAGGAGGCCAGTTCTCTGTGTCAGTTTGATGTCTAACAAAAGATATCAAAAGGGAAAGAGGGAACAGAAGTGGGGAGGGCTGCAGAGGGGCAGATGGAAGACAAGGAAAAGGAGGTTACCATGGAAGTCTCAGATTCTGGGGATTTCAGCCAGTGAACTCTGGACCCTGGATAGAGGTTCTAATGATATTTCTCCAAAGAAAGTCATTGGCATGGATGTGGTGAGGTTTAATCATGTTTTAGGCAGCGACAGGATTGCAGTCTTCCTCTGAGGTTTTCCTAAACATCTTCATTCAGAGTTTTTTTTTTAAAGAAATGTCTTTTTTTTATGATTTTATTTATTTATTCATAAGAGACACAGAGAGAGGCGGAGACACAAGCAGAGAGAGAAGCAGACTCCATGCAGGGACCCTGATGTGTAGGACTAGATCCCCAGGACTCCAGGAACTCACCCTGGGTGGAAGGGAGGTGCTCAACCACTGACCCACCCAGGCGTCCCAAGAGTATTATTGTTTTGTGTTAAGTTTGTTTAAAAAAAAAAAATCAATCCTTTAGACATCCTTTGTATTTAATAATCCCTGCTTAGCCTTCTTTCATTATTTCATCAGGAAAGACAAGTGATATAATAAAAGTGAAGTCTGCTCCAAGTCTCTAAGAACAATTAAGAAAAACATTGTTAGTTTGAGACTTGGCATCAGTTCAATAAGATGCTATCAAGAACCTCTCCTTCTAGAAGGACTGTTAATATATGCACTGTCACCCATTGCCATTAGGGGTGCCCTCTGCAAGACCAAAACTCTTGGAACCACAGGCACTTCTGAATTTTTACAACTACAGTGAGTAAAAGGAGGTTCTTCAGCCAGTACCATCTGAGAGCTGAGCAAGCATAGAGCTGCATACCAAGTATTGAAAGGTTATTGGGTGAACAAAAGTGGAATGAGTGTGAATTTTAAAGGCCAATTGTTCCTATTCAAATCAAAGTTTGAAGTGAAGGAGGCCCAGCCCTTGAGACCATTTTTAGTTCTGCTACTTGAATAACATCTTTGTTGCTCAGGGAGCAACAGCTGAGACCAGCAAAGCCCTTCTGTACATCAAACTAGCTCTGACTTAATTTTCTTCAGAAAAAGATCTACACTAAACTCTAAATACACTAGACAGGGTTTTTAAAACCTTTAAAACTGGGGATCCCTGGGTGGCGCAGCGGTTTGGCGCCTGCCCTTGGCCCAGGGCGCGATCCTGGAGACCCAGGATCAAATCCCACGTCGGGCTCCTGGTGCATGGAGCCTGCTTCTCCCTCTGCCTGTGTCTCTGCCTCTCTTTCTCTCTCTGTGTGTGACTATCATAAATAAAAAAAATAAAAATAAAAGCTTTAAAACTAATGTTTTGAAACATCCATGTCTTAGATTTGGGGTAACTGTTATTACATTGTATATCACGTATTTAATTAACTGTTGCACCACAGAGTGTTAGAAAGAACTGGTCTTTGAAGACTTATTTATTTACTGAATTACATTGGGCAAACCATACTCTTTCTATGTCCCAGTTTATGCTTATGTAAAAATGGGAATTAAAAATCCTCTTCTTCAGGGATAAAATCTTGCAAGGTGGTGAGAATTCACTGAGAAAATGTATTTGAAATTGCCTAAAAGCAAATGGACATTTAGTGGTTAAATTTGTTTCTTCCACTACCGACTCCACCTATCACAGTGGGTGCCCAGTAAATGTTACTGAAAAAAAAATTCCTTTTTTTAAAAATTTCTTTTAATAACTAACCATAACCCAACTATAGCCATTTTTTTCTGTTAGAAAAAAGGGAAATACACTTGACTTAATGAAGAAAAGCAGGACAAAAAGCAAAACAAAATTAGAGAATAGTGTAATGCCAAAGCCAAGTCTCTCTAAAGATACTTTAAATCTGGGTTTAGGGATTCCTGGGTGGCGCAGCGGTTTAGCGCCTGCCTTTGGCCCAGGGTGCGATCCTGGAGACCCGGGATCGAATCCCACGTCGGGCTCCCGGTGCATGGAGCCTGCTTCTCCCTCTGCCTGTGTTTCTGCCTCTCTCTCTCTCTGTGTGACTATCATAAAATAAATAAATAAATACAAATAAATCTGGGTTTAAATTTTTCTTTACTTAAGGGTACTTCTGGGATGCTGGCAGCAACCTATTTCCTAACCAAAGCAGTAGGTATAAGGGTGTGCTCACTTTGTGATGATTCATTGAACTGTACAGTTAAGATTTTTGCATTTTCTATATGTACATATTATTCTAAAATAAAAATGTAAAAAAAAAGTTTTTTTCTACAGAAATCATGCCCAAGTTCAAGCAACGGAGAAGAAAGCTAAAAGCCAAAGCAAAAAGATTATTCAAAAAAAAAGAAGCCTCTAACTCTGAGCCCAAGCTAATTATACCTCCTCCTCCACCACCCTCACCAGAAAGGTAAGGTGAAAGTGTGGAAAGACAAAATATTGAAAATCTGATCCATTAAGGATAGGGTTACCAGATTTAGCAAATAAAAAATACAGAATGCCCAATTAAATTTAAATTTCAGATTTAAAAAATGAACAGTTTTTTAATTGTAACATTTATAATATACTAAAAATTACTCATCCTTCATCAGAAATTAAATTTTGACTGGGCATTCTAAATTTTATGTAGTGACCATAGTTCAAGAGTTTAAATGAAGTAAAAATCACAAGAAATTGTATTGGAGATGCACAGTAATTATTTTCTCCTTCCCTAGTCAATTTAATTGTATAAATCTGGGAACTAAGTGATGAAAGAAGGGTATAGGATTGGAATTTCAGTTTTAGTTTTGGTAAGTTTGGTCAGTTATTCTCTGGGATGCAGGTTTAAACACGTTACTGAAAGAGACTCTAAGTTATAGGAACCCTAGGATACTGGGTTTCACGATGACATACTTTATACTTTTTGTAATTATAGCTCTCTTCACAGAAAAAAAATTTAAAATAAACAGGGCCTCAAAAAGCATTAACCATGATATTATCCTTAATGCTTCTCTGTCTTGAATATTGGAAATGGCCCCTGACTGGTCTTCCTTCTTCTGCTTTTGCCAACCTCTGCAGTGTATTTCAGTGCAATAGTCAGAGTGAGCCAGCTAAAAATCATGTCATATTGCCCCTCTGCTTAAAACTTTCCAATGTCTTTTCTAGGGTACCTGACTGGCTCAGCTGGAAGAGTGTGTGACTCTTAATCTCAGGGTCGTGAGTTTGAACTCCATGTTGGGTGAAGAGATTACATAAAAATAAATAAAAACTCTCCATGGCATCCTCTCTTAGAGTCAAAATTAAAATCCTTTGTACAACCCCACAGTCTGACTTGACATTATCTCATAATCCTCTATCCTTCAGTTTCTCCACCCTAATCATCCTGGCCTCCTTGCTATTCCCTAGACACTTCAGACAAGCTGCTATCTCAGGGCCTTTACACTTACTATTACTGTTGCCTGAAATGCTCTTCTCCCAGATATTTGTATTGCTGGCTTCTTCATTTTTTATATTTATTTTATTTATTTATTTATTTTTTTTTTTTTTAAGTAGGTTCCACACCCAACCGGGGGCTTGAATTCATGACCGTTGATCAAGAGTCACATGTTCTACTGACTGAGCCAGCCAGGCATCCCCGTATTGCTAGCTTCTTTACTTTGTTTAGGTTTCTTTTCTCAAAAGTTGCCTTCTCAGTGAGACTTCCCTAGCTACTCTACCTAAAATTTCACCTCCACCCAACATTTCTTTCCTGCTGTATCCTTTTCCTCATAGTATTTATTCACTATCTAACAATCCATATATGTTACTTATTTGCTTACTTTTACCTTTCTCCCAAGACATGTAAGTTCAATGAGGGCAGGGTTTTTCTGTATTTTGTTCATTACTGAATCCCTGATGCCTCTTTATACACAATTTACTTACTCTAAAAAAATAAACTGTTGCATAAGTACATCACAGAACTCTAGAATTTAATGAAGAATTTGGCTTTATGTAGTCTCTGCTCCTGAGTCATACTATAAAACTAGCTTGTTTTTTTTTTTTGTTTGTTTGTTTTAAGATTTATTTATTTGAGAGAGAGACAGAGCAAGGAGAGGGGCAGAGGGAGAAAAAGTATCCAAAGCACACTGCTGCCGAGCATGGAGACTGACTCAGTACTCATTCTCATGACCCTGAGATCATGAGTTGATGCTCAACCAACTGAGCAACCCAGGCACCCCACAACTTGTTTTTAAATACAGGCTATTATTCCAACTCAGGAGTTTTTTATTTGTTTGGTTTTGTTTTTCCTACAGAGTGATTATTCTTTCAGCAGATACAGCCCTTAGCAGAAGCTTGCTTAGATCATCCTGGAATTTCAGATTTCCCAATATCAAAGATACAGTAAAATTTTGGACAAATAGAGTGTGGTCTATATACAAGTGGTGCCAGAACTGTATGGCCCAGGTATGTGTTTGACATACTGGTATGTGTTTGACATACTTGTTTTCAGCAATATGGTTTATATACATACTTGGTATGTATGTTCACGTGTGTGTGCTCAGGTCAGCAGAACACTCGGGCTAAGCTCAGGTAAGAAGAAATTATGGAGTTATGTATGCCTTTGCTTCTGTAAAACATACATCAAATCACTTTCTTCTCTCTTTTTTCCTTGTCCTTATTGTGTTGCTTATAGAATTAAGGCTTGTTTATTTTTGAATTTCAGAGTTTAGAAGTATTGAAAGATACCATCTTTCCATCCCATTTCTGCCACCGAGAACTTCACAATCTAAGACAACAGTTTTGCATTTTGGAAAGTGAATTACACAAGCTCCAAGAAACAATGAAGGTTAGTATTGTTAAATAAAAAAAGAAATCCAGAATTAGGGAAGGAGAGGTACAGGCCAAGTGCTAGTCTGGGGCCTGTTTGCCCTCAGATCTGTTCCTTTGGCTTCAAGGCTCTGCTCTGTACTGTACTGGGGCTAACCCATGAAGGCTGTATGTCCCAAGCTCCATATTACCTGGTTCTGGTTGTACTTGGTTAATGGGAGTTGCTGATGAGAGACTGTCAGGGGTGTGGAGGGAGTGTGTTTTTCCTCTTTGTTCTCTGCATTGAGCAATTTCTCCAGGATGGTTGTTGTCTCCCTCACTCCAGCTCCCTCCAGGTAAATCTACCATATTTCTTGATTCTCTGAGTTAACACACCTCTAGAGATCTGGTTTACTGCTCTTCCCTTTTCCTTCCAGCCTCAAGGTATTCATGGCTTTCTGCAGTTGCTAATCTCTGGGCTCCTTCAATGTCCCCTGTGTCCTTTTCAGCTCTTTCATCATTAAAGTAACCAACTCCCTACGTTACATTCCTCCTCTTTTAAATATTCAGGATGATTTCTATTTTTTTGACCTGATAGAGGGAGAAAAAAAGCTATAAATATCCACTCTTTCTAAACTCCCATAAGCGGGATGCCTGGGTGGCTCAGCAGGTGAGCATCTGCCTTCAGCTCTGGGTGTGATCCCAGGATCTGGCTTCGAGTCCCACATCAGGCTTCTCCCAGGGAGCCTCCTTCTCCCTCTGCCTGTGTCTCTGCCTCTCTCTCTGTGTCTCTCATGAATAAATAAATAGAATCTTTTAATAAATAAATAAATCTCAAAAAATAAACATTGTAGTGAAGCTTTTGGGATTACAACCCTTTTCCCAGAATTTGTACCTCAAGGTGAATTAGATGGGAAGAAAGGCAAATCACCTAATTCATTAGGCCTGAGTTTCCACATCTAAAAATGAGGATGATACCATCTGTGGTGAGCTGAATCAGTCGCCTCCAAAAGATGTCTCCAAGTCCTAATCCCTAGAACCTATAAATATTATTTGATATTATTATTAAAGTGGGGATCCCTGGGTGGCGCAGCGGTTTGGCGCCTGCCTTTGGCCCAGGACGCGATCCTGGAGACCCGGGATTGAATCCCACGTCGGGCTCCCGGTGCATGGAGCCTGCTTCTCCCTCTGCCTGTGTCTCTGCCTCTCTCTCTCTCTCTGTGTGACTATCATAAATAAATAAAAATTTAAAAAAATATATTATTATTAAAGTAATCTCTACACCCAACATGGGGCTTAAACTTACTACCCCAAGATCAAGTATTGTATACTCTACTAACTGAGCCAGCCAGGCCCCCCTTAAGTTAAGGATTTTAAGATGAGGAGATAATACTCTATTATCTGGGTGGACCCTAAATCCAATGACAAATGTCCTTATAAAAGAGATACAGACGGATGCCTGGGTGGCTCAGCAGTTGAGCTCCTACCTTTAGCCAGGGCGTGATCCTGAAATCCTGGGATTGAGTCCCACATTGGGCTCCCTGCATGGAGCCGGCTTCTCTCTCTGCCTATGTCTCTGCCTCTCTCTGTGTGTCTCTCATGAATAATATAAATAAATAAAATATAAAATAAAATAAAATAAAAAATAAAAAATAGGGCAGCCTCGGTGGCACAGCGGTTTAGCACCACCTGTAGCCTGGGGTGTGATCCTGGAGACCCGGGATCGAGTCCCACGTCAGGCTTCCTGTATGGAGCCTGCTTCTCCCTCTGCCTGTGTCCCTGCCTCTCTCTCTGTGTCTCTATGAATAAATAAAATCTTAAAAAAAAAAAAAAAAAGTCAGATCTATGAGAAAAAAACAATGCAGAAAAAAATAAAAATAAAATAAAATAAAATAAAATATAAAATAAAAAATAAAAGAGATACAGAGCAGGGTGCCTGAATGACTCAGTGGTTAAGCATCTGCCTTAGGCTTGGGTAACAATCCCAGGGTCCTGGGATCGAGTCCCCCATTGGGCTCCCTGCTCAGTCTGCTTCTCCCTCTGCCCCTCCCCCCTGCTTATGCATACATTCTCTCTCTCATAAATAATCTTTAAAAAAAGAGAGAGAGAGAAAAAGAGAGATACAGAGCAGAGCATGAACAGAGGAAAAGAGGAGCAGTGGAACTACAGGCAGAGACTGGAGTGACGGAGCCTCAAACCTAGGAATGCCCTAGCTATCAAAAAGGAAAAGGCAAGGGTTAGAGCACTGGAAGGCAACTGTCAACGTGATTTTAGACTTCTAGCCTCCAGCACTGTGAAAAAATGAATTTCAATTGTTTTAAACCATCAAATTTGTGATAATTCGAGACTGCAGCCATAGGAAACGAATATACTACCTTACTTCATAGGGTTATTTTTCATTTCCTAGGGCTGCCATCATGAAGTAGCATGGACTGGGTGGTTTATATAACAGAAATTTATTTCCCACAGTTCTAGAGACTAGAAGTCTAAGATCAAGGTGTTGGCAGAGTTAGTTTCTTCTTAGGCCTCTCTCCTTTGGCTTGTCTTCTCACTGTGTTCTCAAACGGTCTTTTCTCTGTGCGTACACATCCCTGATGTTCCTCCTGTAGGTTCAAATTCCTTCTTTTTATAGGAATTGTGGGGGAGGGGTTGAGGGTGGACACAATTAAACCCATAACATTTCTTATTCCTTTTTATCAGTACTTGAATATACTACTACATTCTTGGCTGCATTAAGTTTTTTTCCTCTGTCAGGAACTCTCTTTCCCTAAACCTTATCTCCCTTTCTCTCTTGAGATCTGATCAGTTGCAATTCATCTTTGAGATTATGGCTAAATATCACTCCCCAGGGCATCTGGACAGCTCAGGCAGTTAAGAGTCTGGCTTCAGCTTAGGTCATGATCTCCAGATTCTGGGAACAAGCCCCACATCGGGTTCCCTGCTCAGCAAGGAGTCTGCTTCTCTCTCTCTTTCTCTTTCTCCTGCTGCCCTCCCCACCACTCATTTTCTCTCTCTCTCAAATGAACAAATAAAATCTTTAATAAATAAATAAATAAATAAATAAATAAATAAATAAATATCACCCTCCAGTTTTCTCACTATTCATGCTCACAGCACACTATCATTTTCACTGAAGCACTTTTTGTTTTGTTCTGCATGTGTGTGTATGTGTGTGTGTTTAATGTCTGCCTTCCTTACCAGACTGATGTAATAGACAAGGTTCACATTGTACCTATAGTGCTGGCATATTGCACACACAAAACAAATATATGAATGAATGAATGAATGAATGAACTAACTTGTGATAAATGAGAAAATATTATAAAATGCATTGTATACTGAGAAAGAATTCAATACATGGTAGCTATTATCTTGATGACTCTGAGCCACAAGAACCAAATTAATCTGTTATTCATTTGCTAAATGTAATGTTTTCTTACAGGCTGTCTTAGAAAATTCTTCCTGCCCCAGCTGTGGTCAAATGTGTCACATAAGTGGTAAACTTACAAATGTGCCTGCCTGTGTTCTGACCACCCCTGGAGAATCTCAAGCTGTACTTCCTCCCTCGCTGCCACAGTCAGCCACCCATCTTCCTCCTCTTCCACCTCCGCCTCCACCCCCTCCACCTCCTCCTCTGCCTCCACCTCCACTACCTAGGGCACCTTTGCTGCTCAGAAAATTCGATCACACTAAAGCACTTCAGGTAGGAAACAATCTAGTAATGATGTGTTTTGGTCAGTGTATAATGGCATAGTAAAGTAAGGTGGCCTTTTAAGACTAGGCTAAGGGCTTTGAGAGGAAAGCTGCATTTTTTTCTGATTCCATATCTTAATCATGTCAATTTTTATGTTTTTAAAACTCAAGCGTTTAGGAACTCACAAAAGCTGGATTTAGAAATAAAAGTGATTTTTTTTTTTTTACGGGCAGCCCCGGTGGCACAGCGGTTTAGCGCCGCCTGCAGCCCAGGGCGTGAACCTGGAGACCCTGCATCGAGTCCCACGTCAGGCTCTCTGCATGGAGCCTGCTTCTCCCTCTGCCTGTATCTCTGCCTCTCTCTCTGTGTGTCTCTATGAATAAATAAAATCTTTAAAAAAATAATTAAAAAAAAGAAATAAAAGTGAATTTTTAAAAGGATAAATGAATGAAAGCCAGTAGATTGGAATATTCTAAATGGCTTCCCAGTATATATTTTACCAAAAGAAAAGCCTCCCTGGGAAACCAAATTAAGAACAGAAGATGGGGGATCCCTGGGTGGCGCAGCGGTTTGGCGCCTGCCTTTGGCCCAGGGTGCAATCCTGGAGACCCGGGATTGAATCCCACATCGGGCTCCCGGTGCATGGAGCCTGCTTCTCCCTCTGCCTGTGTCTCTACCTCTCTCTCTCTGTGTGTGTGACTATCATAAATAAATAAAAATTAAAAAAAAAAAAAAAAAAGAACAGAAGATGGCTTAGTGAGTAAAGTCAAAATAAAAAGAGTTGGGATGCCTGGGTGGCTTAGCAGTTGAGCTCCTGCCTTTGACCCAGGATGTGATCCTGGAGTCCCAGGATCAGAGTCCCACATTGGGCTCCCTGCAGGGAGCCTGCTTCTCTCTCTGCCTATGTCTCTGCCTCTCTCTCTCTCTCTCTCAATCATGAATAAATAAATAAAATCTTAAAAAAAAAAAGAGTTGGTGGATACTAAAGTATAATGCCATAAGCTAGAGGACCACTCTCTATTAATTCCTTATCTACCAAGGAGATCAGAATGTTTGTGAATCACTAAGATAAGCATGACTCTCTTTAAAAATCTGCTGAATATTCATTCCAGATACATTTGGTTTAAAATGACTGAATTAATTCCAGAATCTATTATGTTTGCCATAATGCATACTTCTCTGGCTGTACATTCTTGTTGTACGGGAACGGAGGCAATTTTTAGGTTAATTGAAGCAAAACTTCACCTTGATTTGAGGAACTCCTTCAACTTTTGTCTTATTATAATGACTCCTTAGGAAAATGCATAGTTGCAGGGAACTAGCCTATCTCACATTTACTATCAAAGCCTTACATTTTGATGAATACTTTGCAATAGCATTAGCATCCATGGGTACTGAAAACAGAATCATTCTTGGTTAAATGAAAAGGATTTGACAGGTTCCCAGGGTAAATAAGAGTTAGTTTTTAAGTGAGTCTTTAAAAACTATATCTGGATTTGCATTTGACTAGATATCCTGGTTACAATTTGAATTCTAACTTCTCCATGTATTTTAAGCCTGGACCATTAAAAAAAGATGGACCCATGCAGATAACAGTTGAAGATCTACTCACTGTGAAATTAAAGAAGACACAGTGTTTTGATGAAAAGAAAAAGGTAAGATGTTACCGACCCTACACATGGTCTTTCAGCTTTTAACCTGGCCGTCCCTTCCTGGAAAACAAGCATGAGTCTTATGTACAGAGGCCATATTGAAGTATTTGATGTTTTATTTGTGTAGTTTTGGATCTCCTCAACAAAATATGTAGATCCCAAAATTATTTAATTAGGCAATTGTATCCACGAACCATTAGTCTAAAGAGGTAGAGACATACTTTGAAGCTCTGGAATAAAACTTGAGTAGTGGATATATCTTACACTTTCAAATACTCATTGTTTCAGCATGTTTACATTTTGAGTGATATTTTTAAGTGTGTTTTTTGATACTTTCTCATTTTGTGATTAAAGTTTGCGCCATCACCAAAAGCACGGAATCCACTAGTTACTGTCTCTGACCTCCAGCGCGTCACCCTGAAGCCCAACTCCAAAATGCTATCAACTCGAGTTACAAATGTCTTAATGTAAGGGACTGCACCATATTATGCTCTATTGTTACTTAAAAGAATTATTTTTTTGCTTATCTCTAACTTTGAAAGTTATATATGCTCATTGTAGAAAACTGGAAATCCACAGAAAATTTTAAAGAAGAAAACAGGGGCACATGGGTGGCACAGTCAGTTAAGCATCTGACTTCGGCTCAGGTCATGATCTTGGGGTCCTGGGATTGAGCCCCATGTCTGGCTCCTCACTCAGCAGGGAGTCTGCTTGTCCCTCTGTCCCTCCTATCGGTGTTTCTCGTGAATAAATAAAATAAAGTCTTAAAAAAAAAATTTTTTAAAAACCTAACATATCTTGGAATTGATGAAATTTGTGTGTGTATAGCATGTGTGTGCATGTATACATGTTTGTGTACCTGTATATGATCATATTGTACACATACATATAGTTAAGGCTTTTCCAATTTAATGTGTCAAGACCTTTTCCCCATCTTATCAAAAATCAGTGTAAAGCATCATTTTGACTTCTTCAGTATATACAGTTCATTACACGTAAACTTCATAAACTCCTGTTTTGAGACATTTAGGTTGTTTATGATCTTTTATTTCTAACTCTTCAGTGCACACCCTTGTCTATCATCTATGTGCATACTGAGTTTTTGTGCATAAGATGGATTCTTATATGGATAATTACCGAGTCAAGAAGTATTACTTATTAGGATGATTATATCACCTTATGCTCCTATCCGGATCTACTGCTTTTTTTTATTTTAAGTACGCTCCACACAAAAGTGGGGCTTGAACTCATGATCCTGAGATCAAGAGTCATATCTCTACTGACTGAGCCAGCCAGGCACCCCTCTGCTGCTATTTTTTAATGTAACAAATAGAACTAATTTCAAGGGCATTGCCTATAGAAATGACTGCTTTGCTTGGGGAAAAATTATAAAATCTGGCAAGTTCTAACTTTTATATCTTTATTTCATCAGTACCCCTGGTAAAAGCCAGATAGATCTGCGGAAACTACTTAGAAAAGTTGATGTAGAGAGGTAATACACTTTATCTCTATGCTTTCTAAATCCATTTGAAAAGTTGGCATAAAACACAGCTTCTGATATTGCCAATACCTTTGTAGGAGCCCAGGTGGAACCCCCCTCACCAATAAAGAAAATATGGAAACAGGAACTGGGCTGACTCCAGTAATGACCCGGGCCTTGAGAAGAAAGTTTCAGGTAAGCTTGGGAGGGGGAGGGGAGAGGAAGGTTCTTTTTCTTCAAAATCATTTATTTAGATGATTTTTATTTTTTTAAAGATTTTATTTATTTATTTATTTACTTACTTACTTACTTACTTACTTACTTATTTGAGAGAGAGTGTACAAGCAGGGACAGAAGGAGGTTGAGGGACAGAAGGAGAGAGAGAGGGAGAAGCAGACTCCCTGCTCAGCAGGGAGTCTAACCCAGGGCTTGATCCCAGGACCTGGAGATCATGATCTGAGCTGAAGGCAGATGCTTAACTGCCTAAGCCACCCTCTTATAATAAATGGTACCTTATGCTTTATAAAAACACTTTCATATTTAGGCTTTATAAAATTCTGTGACATAGCTAGCATTATCATCTCTAACTATGAATGTCTAGTTTTATTAATTCCTTTAGTAAGTATTTATTAAGCATTTCCTAAATGCCAGGCACTGTGCTGGAGTACCAGGGATATGGTGGTAAGCAAAAACAGACCTAGCTTTATTCTCATAGAGCTTTCAGCCTAGTGGGAAAAATAGACATTAGTCAAATAATCACATATTGGTATTCTACACTGAGGTAAGTACTATAAAGGAAAGGGACAGAGTCTGTGGGAACCCATAGAGGAACTTCATCTAGCCTGGGTGATTTAGGAAGGATTCCCTTAGGAAGTAATGAAGTGAGACTTGAAGAATGAATAGGCATTAACTGGGAAGCATACCTGTGGGATAAGGGGTGGGCCCACCATGGCTGTCAGGGCAGAAAGAGCTCCAGGCCAAAAAAAAAAAAGAGCATATGCAAGGGTCTTGTGATATAGGGATCAGGTCATGCACACTTGACAGGAAAAGGTCCTGGCAGCTTTCTTCTTTGTCACCTGCATGTAGGATCCATACACCAAAATCTTGTTTATCAGTGGGGTCTGATGTGATTTCTTCCAAACTCTGTCATCATCTCCCTATTCACCTCTATCACTGAATCTGTGGGGAGTATCGATCCTTCTGCCACTCCTACTAGAGTGCTGGGACGCAGGGCTCCTGGACTCTTCTCCATTTCCCTCTGGCAGTAGAGGCACACCAGAGACTTCACTGCTGACACTTTGCCACCCCAACACGGTCCTCCATTTGTTTGCTCATTAAGAATCAGTGCCTTTTACAGACAGCTTGGTATCCCTCTTGCCAATCAACTTGGTCCTCCTGGACATTATACCACCTTCTTTGGAGGTATGGCCACATTCCTCTTTCCTCCTTTTGGAACATCCAGTAGGAGTCTACCCCTAGATCACATTCTTTGGTCATATCACAAATTATGAAGGGCAAGGACAGAAGGCAGAGGCCTCACTAAAGGACTAAGCCCCTTCCTTTCTTTGCTCAGCTCTGGGATTCTTTTTTGTTCCTGTCCTACCCCATAATTACTGTAATGAGTTGAGTAACATGGAAATAAATGAAAATATGATCAAAAATAAGCACACATATTGAGCTACAACATCAAAAATCACAGAAAAGATCTCTGTCATATGAGGTATTTGCCAAAATCCACTTAGTAGGAGGAAGTTTTTTATTTTTATTTATTTATTTTTTTAAGATTTTATTTATTTATTCATGAGAGACACACAGAGAAAAAGAGAGGCAGAGACACAGGCAGAGGGAGAAGCAGGCTCCATACAAGGAGCCCGATGTGGGACTCGATCCCGGGTCTCCGGGATCACACCCTGAGTTGTAGGTGGCACAAAACCACTGCGCCACCCGGGCTTCCTGAGGAAGTTTTTTAAAAACTGTTGTTAGGATAGCCTGGGTGGCTCAGCAGTTTTGCACTGCCTTCAGCTCAGGTTGTGATCCTGGAGTCCCCCGGGATTGGGATCGAGTCCCATATCAGGCTCCCTACGGGGAGCCTGCTTCTCCCTCTGCCTATGTCTCTGCCAGTTTCTCTGTGTCTTTCATGAATTAATAAACAAAAATTAAAAAAACAAAAACAAAAATTGTCGTTAGACATAGAAAGACCCTTCCTACTTAGCCCTTAGGTTTCCTTTTTCCTTTAAGTCTGAAACAATTGTATTAGTTAGGTTTTGCATTTGGTAACAAAATTTGGTTTTGCATTAGGTAATAAAAATCTGACCACCATGGCTTAACCAAGTAGGGGCTTACTTTTCTTACCAGCATATTCCCTTGAGAAGTAGGTAGGCCATAACTGGTATAGCAGCTTCATCAAGTCCTCAGTGTTCTTTCATCCTTAATGTGCGGCTTTTATCTTCCTGGTAAAGAATGCCTACACCTCCTAAAGCCTAGTGTCCACATTCTAGGCAAGATAAGGAAAAAGGCAAAGTGCAAAAGGATATCATAGCTAAGCTACCCCTCATCTCTTAAAACAGTTACTATCTAGGAACTTCTGATTATATCAGAGAAACTGGGAAAGTGGTTTTTAGTGGTCTGCTGCATTACTGCCCTACACAAAATATGGGTTCTGTTAGTGAGGAAGGAGATCTGTGTTGGCCATAGGAACATAATTCATATTATAATTGGGACCTTTTTTTTTTTTTCATAGATGGCTCACCCTAGAAGCCCAACTCAAACTCTGCCACTTTCTACAAGTAGCTTTGATGAACAAAACTGATGCCAACCTTGCCTGACTCCATGTGATGATCCATAAAATATACAGATAAAACCACCCCAACCCTTTTTAATATAGTAGGGTATGTATAAATAATTATGCTAATATATATAATTTCATTTGAAGAATTAAAGTATTGCAAGCCCCCATACATACTGTGATATAAAGTGGGTATTGGGTATTTTTTAGTTGGCATGATCAATAAGAAAACAGATGGGAGGGATCCCTGGGTGGCGCAGCGGTTTGGCGCCTGCCTTTGGCTCAGGGCGCGATCCTGGAAACCCGGGATCGAATCCCATATCGGGCTCCCGGTGCATGGAGCCTGCTTATCCCTCTGCCTATGTCTCTGCCTCTGTCTCTCTCTCTCTGTGACTATCATAAATAAATAAATTAAAAAAATTAAAAAAAAAAAAAAAGAAAAGAAAACAGATGGGAAAATGCAATCCCCAGAGTGATGTTTATCCTGGAATTACCCAATTTAGGTTGGAAAGCTTGTTCAAATTTAACTAGATAACAAATTTGTATTCAATAGGTACACTTAAGATATTAAGAAAATAACCTGATTTCCTTAAAAGTAAAATAAAATAAAATAACCTAATTTCCATTCTTGCGTATTCTCAGGTAATTAAAAAGAAAAGTATTTCAGCCTGTCAAGCTAATACATTCACTAAGTACTGTAGACTTGGGATGCCTGGGTGACTTAGCGGTTGAGCATCTGCCTTTGGCTCAGGGCGTGATCCCCGGTGCGGGGATCAAGTCCCACAGTGGGCTCCCCATAGATAGCCTGCTTCTCCCTCTGCCTATGTCTCTGCCTCTCTATGTCTATCATGAATAAATAAATGAAATCTTACAAAAAAAAAAGTACTGTAGACTTGATCAGTAAAAATGGTCCTCTAGATTTGATTTGTTTACTGTAAGCAGTTAAGAGATAAGACCCTCCCCCATCCCAACCCAATTATTTTCCAGATGGATTTGAAGTAAAATATCCAATTTAACCATAAAAATTAGAATGTATCATGTCTAGCAGCTAGAAATGATACCCAGGTAGTCATATCTGGCTCTCTGAAGTCTGATATATTTTTTTCTTTGATATTTGCTGTCCACATTTGTGCAGCTAACTATGAATTTTATGAGAATCTCAACATGAAGCTTGAATTCCCACAGTGGTCTGCCAGGTATTATCTGAAGTCCATAGCAAATCCTCTATGAGACCTAATTCCTATCCTCAACAGCCTGTAGCTTCAATCACTGTAATAATGCATACCTCACTGAATTTTTGTTCTTTCCTGCCAGTCCAGACTTGCCAGATTTAGCAATTATAAACATATGATGATCAAATTTGAATTTCAGATAAAAAACAAATAACTTTTAAATATAAATATGTCCTATTAAACAACAGATAGGGTTTTTTTAGTATAAGTATGTCCCAAATATTGCATGGGAGTTATATATTTATACTAAAAAATTATTCAAAAAAAATAAAATAATAAAAAAATAAAAAATTATTCATTATTTATCTAAAATTCAAATTTAACAGGACATTCTATATTTTGGCTGGTTACCCTATCAGTCAGTCCTCTACAAAGTTGCCAAGTATTTCTGGGAACTCCCAGCTTGTCAGACATGTCTACTTAGTGGTAGACACAATTATAGCTTCAGTCAGGATCTCCATTACTAATGTGTTAAGTATCATAGAGGAAGGGGAACTCTGATTAGGGTGAGTTCCTGTAACTGGAGGTGCAGTATTAGCTTTGATCCCCTGCAGTTCCAAGAATAAGGATCACAGATGTACATGGATAGGAAATAAGGTGTTTCAGATTGTCACTGAACTTCCTAGCCTGATAGGAAGCAGCTACACAGATGACATCCTTGAAATAGCATCATTTTACCATAAGCTAAAAAAGATATTTTAGTAATTTCCCAGAAGTGCCTATATCTCCACAGATACATATTGCTTTGAGATGCCAAATAGAGTGTTGTGGAAAGTGAGCAGACTGGAAAGCAGACCTGGGGACCATGTTTTATTCTTATGAGACCCACATTTATATTTATAGACACATTTATGCATGCAAATTAAACAGATAATAAAGTTAAGAAACATACCTGCTTCTAGTTTAAAAACAAAAACAAAAACAAAAACCTTCCTAGCTACATTTATATTATATAAGGATAAAGGAGGAAAAAAAAAAAAAAGAATAAAGGGAATGATCACTGAAAATAAAACATTTGAGTATTTGTAACAATGTTTTATGGGACATTTATAATGCTTATTATATTAATAAACCACCATGTATTGTCTCAATTTAAATGATTTGATGATTTGATCATTGAAAAGTTCATAAAAAAATGCTCTAGAAAAAAAAAATAAAAAATAAAAAAATAAAAAAAAATGCTCTAGAAAGCCTATATATAAACATTTATAAAGCTACTATTGCCATTGTACCAGTATTAAAATGTTTTTTATCTTGTGTATTTTACTAATTTTTATGACAGGTTTTATACTGTACCCATTTGAGAATCCTGTAAATGCTATGACTTCATTTAACTGTTGCTAATTATAAACTTCCAATGTTTATTTTCAGACTGAATAACAACCAGACAATATAAACACCAAAGTACATCTGGTTATGTTTTTAAATAAAGCAATAAAAAACCTTTGATTTTTCCTCATTTAATTTTTTTCTAGAAACGTAACACAGAAAAGTACATAATAAAAAAAAAAGAAAAGTACATAATACATAAATTAACAAATCATAAAGCAAATGCTTATGTAACCACCAAGAAAGAAAGAGACATTATAAATGTCTTTAAAAGCCCTATCTCCCTCCTCTAACACGAGTAACTACTGACTTGCTTGTTATAGTAAATATTTCCTTGCTTTTATTCTCTAAGTATACATCCCTAAATGCTATGGCTTATTTTGCTTGCTTTTGACCTATATAAATAGAATCATATATACTTTACTTCTGCCTTCTTTCAATCAACATTTATTTTTAAGATTTAACCATGTTATTGTGTAGTGCCACAGATCACTTATTTTTTATTGGATGAATATAGTTACCATTCATTCCATTGTTAATGGAAATTAGGGTTGTTTATAGTTTTTGGCTTTTATAAATCATGCATGCCATTATGAACACTCTAGATACTATTTTCTAGAAACTGTCAAACTGGTTTTCAAGTAGTTATACCAATCCATAGTCCCTTCAACAAAGTATGAGAGTTCTTGTTGCTCCTGTTTTCTTCAAGAGAGTCTTTTCTATTTGACTTTTCAACACTTTATTTGGGAAATCTGTACAATGTTTATCGTTAATATACACTTTTTTGCCTGGATTTATAAATCAAAGATATTTGGGAAATCTGTACAATGTTTATCGTTAATATACACTTTTTTGCCTGGATTTATAAATCAAAGAATTGTTAAGATGATTTTATATCGGCAAAGTCACATACTAAACATAGCAAATTGGGGCACCTGGGTGGTTCAGGGGTTGAGCATCTAACTTCAGCTCAGGGCATGATCCTGGTGTCCAGGATTGAGTCCCGCATTGGGCTTCCCACAGGGAGCCTACTTCTCCTTCTGCCTATGTCTCTACCTCTCTCTGTGTCTCTCATGAATAAATAAACAAAATCTTTTTTAAAAATTAAAAATAAAAATAAACAGCAAATAGTATACATGGTGAGGATCACAATATAATTTATATTGATAAACATGTAGAATTTCTCATTTTATTTTTTTAAATATTTAATTTATTTATTCATGAGAGACACAGGCTGAGAGAGGCAGAGACATGGGCAGAGAGAGAAGCAGGCTCCTTGCAGGGAGCCCGATACGGGACTGGATCTCGGATTCTGGGATTACGACCTGAGCTGAAGGCAGGCGCTCAACCTCTGAGCCACCTAGGCATCCCAAGAATTTCTCATTTAAGTTGGATTTTCAAAAAAAAAAAAAAACCTAGGATCTGAACACATAAAGCAGAGAAGGGAACAAGTAAAAAGCAAATAGATAAAATTTTTAAAAATATGTTTAAAAACCCATTGCAACTCCTTTCTGAATTCTTGTTAGTAACTAAACAAGAATGTTGGAATGTTGGTTGAGAAGCCAAGTATAGCTTAATTTATTAAAAATATCACCACCATGGGATCCCTGGGTGGCGCAGCGGTTTGGCGCTTGCCTTTGGCCCAGGGCGCGATCCTGGAGACCCGGGATCGAATCCCACGTCGGGCTCCCGGTGCATGGAGCCTGCTTCTCCCTCTGCCTATGTCTCTGCCTCTCTCTCACTGTGTGACTATCATAAATAAATAAATTAATTAAAAAAATATATCACCACCATGACTTAGGGCTCTATCCTTCCTTTGAGAATTATATGAAATGACTCTTTCCCCCCTACATTTTTATTGAGACATAAATAACATATAACATTGTATTGGTTTAAGGCAAACATAATGATTTGATAAATGTATATGCTGCAAAACTCTACAATAAATTTAGTTAATATCCATTATCGTGTATAGTTATAATTTTTTGTGATGAGAACTTTTTTTTTAATTTTATTTATTATTTATGATAGTTACACCCAGAGAGAGAGAGAGAGAGAGAGGCAGAGACACAGGCAGAGGGAGAAGCAGACTCCATGCACCGGGAGCCCGACGTGGGATTCGATCCCGGGTCTCCAGGATCGCTCCCTGGGCCAAAGGCAGGCGCCAAACCGCTGCGCCACCCAGGGATCCCCGAGAACTTTTTTTTAAGTAAACTCTACCCCAAATGTGGTGCTCAAATTCACCAGCCTTTTTTTTTTTTTTAAGATTTTATTTATTCATGAGAGACACAGAGAGAGAGGCAGAGACATAGGCAGACAGAGAAGCAGGCTCCTCACAGGTAGCCTGATGCAGGACTTGATCCCAGGACCCAAGGATCACAACCTGAGCCAAAGGCAGACAACCACTGGGCCACCTATGTGTTCCTCAAATTCACCATCCTGAGATCAAGAGTGCCATGCTCTACCATCTGAGCCAGCCACGTGCCCCGATGAGAACTTTTAAGATGTATTCTCTTAGCAACTATTTTTTCTGAGAGAGAGGGAGGGGGGGAGGGGGGAGGGGCAGAGAGAGACTTAAGCAGGCTCCAATGCCCAGCACAGAGCCCAATGTGGGGCTCAGTCTCACAACCCTGAGATCATGACCTAAGCCAAAATCAAGAGTCCATCACTCAACTGAGCCACCCAGGCGCCTCTCTTAGCAACTTTCAAATATACAAGACAGTATTAATACGTATAGTTACCATGCTATACGTGAATACTGGAACTTAATACTGGAAATATGGACCTTTTGACCACCTTCACCCATATCTGTACCTCTACCCCCTGGCCCAGCAACCACCAGGCTTTTCTCCATTTCTATGACCTAGGTTCTTTTAGATACCACATATAAGTAAGATCATACCTAAATGAGACAATTCTTGATAAGGATTTAACACAGAGCCAAACACAAAGTAAATTATCTGTATTTATTATTATTTTGTCATTATTTAACATCCCAAGTAAGAACTCATTAAAAATAAATTCTCTAATTCCATTTCTATCTTTAAAAAAAGATGTTTTTTTAATTTTTATTTATTTATGATAGTCACACAGAGAGAGAGAGAGGCAGAGACATAGGCAGAGGGAGAAGCAGGCTCCATGCACCGGGAGCCCAACGTGGGATTCGATCCTGGCTCTCCAGGATCGCTCCCTGGGCCAAAGGCAGGCGCTAAACCGCTGTGCCACCCAGGGATCCCCGAAAAGAAAAAAAAAAGATTTTATTTATTTATTCCTGAGAAACAGAGAGAGAGGAGAGGCAGACAGAGAAGCAGCCTCCTTGCCAGGAGCCCAATGTGGGACTCGATCCCAGGACCCCAGGATCGTGACCTGAACCAAAAGCAGGCACTCAACCACTGAGCCACCCAGGCACCCCTATTCCATTTCTATCTTAAAGCCAAAAGTATTTAAAAATAAAATCTAACCATTCAAAACTCCAATCAACTAAACCAAATATTGAATTAAGGCTTTCCACATTTCAAGAAAGAATTGTTCAATATTAGAAATTGGAGAAAGTGTTCATTGCAGAAAAATTAGAAAATAGATGAAAATAAAAGATATTGAAAAGTACAGCATAGGAAAGACAGTCAATAATGTTGTAATAGGGACACCTGAGTGGCTCAGTGGTTGAAGTAGTGATCCCGAGGTCCTGAGACAGAGTCTCACATCAGGCTCCTGGAGGAGAGCCTGCCTCTCCCTTTTCCTATATCTCTGTCTCTCTGTGTCTCTCATGAATAAATAAATATAATCTTTAAAAAAATAATAATGTTGGGGATCCCTGGGTGGCTCGGCGGTTTGGCGCCTGCCTTCGGCCCAGGACGCGATCCTGGAGTCCCAGGATCGAGTTCCACATCAGGCTCCCTGCATGGAGCCTGCTTCAACTCTGTCTGTGTCTCTGCCTCTCTATCTGTGTCTCCCATGAATAAATAAATAAAATAAAATTTAAAAATAATGTAATAACTATGGTGACAGATGGTAACTAGTTATTATGGTGAGCATTTCATAAAGTATACAATTTTTTAATCACTATGGTGGACACCTGAAACTAATGTAATGTTGTATGTCAACTCTATTTCAATAAAATAAATTTAAAAAAAATAATAAAGAGGGATGTCTGGGTGGCTCAGGGGTTGAGGGTCCGCCTTCAGCTCAGGGTGTGATCCCGGGGCCCTGGATAGAGTCCCACATTGGGCTCCATGCGTGAAGCCTGCTTCTCCCACTGCCTGTGTCTCTGCCTCTCTCTCTCTCTGTCATGAATAAATAAAATCTTTAAAAATAATAATAATAAAGAGGACATCTACCACAAAACCTGCATACGGATGTTTGTAGCAGCTTTATTAATAATTTCCAATACTTGAAAGCAACTAAGATGTATTCTAGTAGGCAAATAGGTAAATAAACCATGGTGCATCTAGATAACAGAATATTCTTCAACACTAAAAAGAAATGAGCTATCAAAGCATGAAAAGATAGATAAAACTTAAATGCATATTACTAAGTGAAGAAGCCAACCTGAAAAAGCTATGTACTGTATGAGTCCAACCATTGGATAGTGTGGAAAAGGCAAAAATATGGAGATAGTAAAAAGATCGGTGGTTGCAGGAGGTTGGAGATAATGATGTATTAATGTAGGTTCATAGATTGCAACGAATATACCATTCTAGTACAGGATATATCGATGGGGGGGGGCGGGGAGAATGTGCTCGTGTGTGGAGCAGAGGTTACCGTGGAACTTTCTGCACAACTAAACCTAAAACTTTTTAACCTAAAATAAGCCTAAAACTTTAAAAATAAAAGTCTATTGAAATAGAAAACAAAACAAAAAAAAGAGGATAAAGAAATAAAAGTGAATAAATTCTAAAACGTTTTAAACATTTTAATATATATTTTAACATTTTGGTGTATAGTCTTCCGAGGCTGAGAAATTATGTTTTTAAAGCTCGTACTCCATAAACTTTTCAAAACCACTGGCTTGCTTTCCCACTGATGTGAGTGAATGAAATTTTTTATGCAAAGTACACGGGAAAGGAAATCCGTTCGCCTACCTTGCTTTGCCAGATTATCTCTTGAGCTGTGTTTCTCAAACTGTGAACTGTGTACATTAGGATTTAGTTGAAATGCAGGCAGTGACTCAGTAGGTGTAGGTTAGGGCCCGAGATCCTGCATTTCTAAGTAGCTCCCACGTGGACCTGCAGACTACACATTCTGTAGCAAGGTTCCAGAGTTTAAACTGAACCACTGTTCTGTTTTTCCAAGAGTTTGACCAGCTTCTTTTGCAGTGTTTTTGCACTCCTTGAACTGCAAACTAGCTGTTTCCAATTGTCTCTTTGATCTCTCAATTCCTACCGTCACCGGCTAAGGAAAAACCTAAACAAGGGGCGGTATCGCCGTAGGGAACCCGCGGAAAATTAGGAGGAGCAGGAGGCGGAACCTAAAGTGAAAGGAAACCAGGAACTGAAGAAGCGGAGGAGGGATTTCGAAATTGGACGAAAGCCGGTTGGGTTTTCTGGGCGGACCGGAAAGAGTCTAGAGAAGTCTCTGCACCATGGCGGGTCCTGTCAGCTTGCGAGAGCTTCTAATGGGAGCTTCATCCTGGACCGGCTCTGAAAGTCCGGAGGGAACCCCTACAGAGGGCGGAGGGAGCGTGGCTGGTGGACCGGAGCCTCCTTGGCGAGAGGATGAGATCTGCGTGGTGGGAATCTTCGGCAAGACCGCCCTGCGCCTGAATTCCGAGAAGTTCTCACTAGTGAACACGGTTTGCGACCGACAGGTCTTTCCCCTCTTTCGCCACCAAGATCCTGGGGACACAGGGCCTGGAATCAAGACCGAGGCTGGAGCCGTCGGGGAGGCTGGTGGAGCCGGAGACGCTGGGGCGGGGACCGGGGAGTCGGTTCGGGGAGCTGTAGCGGGCGCTGAAGGTAACCGAACTGAGCCAGGCTCCCAGGACTACAGCCTTCTGCAGGCCTATTACAATCAGGAAAGCAAAGTTCTTTATCTTCTTCTCACTTCCATCTGTGACAATTCGCAGCTTCTGCGGGCTTGTCGTGCCCTTCAGAGCGGGGAAGCTGGAGGTGGCCTCTCGTTACCTCATGCAGAAGCCCACGAGTTCTGGAAGCATCAGGAAAAACTGCAGTGTCTCAGTCTCCTTTACCTTTTCTCCGTCTGCCACATCCTGCTTCTGGTCCATCCCACTTGTTCCTTTGACATCACTTATGATCGAGTATTCAGAGCCCTGGATGGACTGAGACAGAAAGTACTGCCCCTCCTGAAAACGGCCATTAAGGATTGCCCAGTTGGCAAAGACTGGAAGCTAAATTGCCGACCTTGCCCGCCTAGACTCCTTTTCCTTTTTCAACTCAATGGAGCCCTCAAGGTGGAACCCCCTCGGAGCCAAGACCCAGCTCATCCAGACAAGCCCAAGAAGCATTCTCCTAAAAGGAGACTGCAGCATGCCCTGGAGGACCAGATCTATAGAATCTTTAGGAAGAGTCGTGTCTTGACTAATCAGAGTATCAATTGCCTCTTTACTGTGCCTGCCAACCAGGCTTTTGTGTACATAGTTCCGGGAAGCCAAGAGGAGGACCCAGTAGGCATGTTGCTGGACCAACTTAGGAGTCATTGTACTGTCAAGGACCCAGAATCTTTGCTGGTGCCTGCACCCCTTTCTGGGCCCAGGCGATACCAGGTGATGAGGCAACATAGCCGACAACAGCTTTCTTTCCACATTGACAGCAGCAGTTCCAGTTCTTCCGGGCAGCTAGTGGATTTCACTCTTCGGGAATTTCTGTGGCAGCATGTGGAGCTAGTCCTAAGCAAGAAAGGTTTTGATGACAGTGTGGGCAGGAACCCACAGCCTTCCCATTTTGAACTTCCCACTTATCAGAAGTGGATCTCAGCAGCTTCAAAACTGTATGAAGTAGCTATTGATGGGAAAGAGGAAGACCCAGGGTCTCCCACTGGGGAGCTAACATCTAAGATTTTAAGTAGTATTAAAGTCTTGGAAGGATTTTTGGATATTGACACCAAATTCTCAGAAAACCGGTGCCAAAAAGCTTTACCCATGGCCCATAGTGCCTATCAGTCAAATTTGCCTCATAATTACACAATGACTGTCCATAAGAATCAGCTTGCTCAGGCTCTTCGAGTGTACAGTCAACATGCTAGGGGTCCAGCCTTTCACAAATATGCCATGCAGTTACATGAGGACTGCTACAAGTTTTGGAGCAATGGCCATCAGCTCTGTGAGGAGAGGAGTTTAACTGATCAGCACTGTGTACATAAATTTCACTCCTTACCTAAATCAGGTAGCTAAAATTTCCTCAACATTTTGAAATCAGAATTGAGCTGTGTTCTATTCTTGTGGGCTTTTTAAATTATTATTTTTGAGTAATCTCTTTGCCCAAAAAGGCACTCAAACTCATAACCCTGAGATCAAGAGTTGCATACATCACTGGTTGAGCCAGCCAGGCAACCCTTTATTTTTGTTTTAAGAGAGGCTGTTCACTATGTATTGATATTTTTTAAAGAGCCCTACAGAAATTCAGTTGCATCAAATTTAAGTTTTCTCTCTTGCTGTAAAAAGAAAATAACAGCTATGACTACTAATTATTTTCTTGTATTTAAAGGATGAACCATAGGAAATTGGTAAATGAAAACTGTTAAACAACATAAAGTTCAGAAATTACATATTCACATTTTTACCTTGGAGTTTTTGTTGAACTAAAAATAAAATACAATGAAATGCAAGGTCACCATAATGAAAATAAAATTTACTTAGAAAACCTAAGACTTTAGGTTGAAAATATATATCATTTTATGTATTTTCAGTTGCTTCTTGTGTGTGTGTGTATTTGGGCAAGGTTTTGTGTTTTTGGTGGGTTTTTTTTTTTCCCCCTTCTCCCTTCTAAAGAACTGTTTGGAAAATTTGAGGGGTTAGATGTATAGAATGTAAAATAAATTTGATTCTGTGTTGTGTGTATGAAATTGTATTTTCCAGGAGAAAAACCAGAGGCCGATAGAAATCCTCCGGTGTTGTATCACAATAGCCGAGCTCGATCTACTGGTGCCTGTAACTGTGGAAGGAAACAAGCACCTCGAGATGATCCCTTTGATATCAAGGCAGCTAACTATGACTTCTATCAGGTAGTCTCTACATTTTTTTCTTCCTCTTTTTTTTTTAAAAACAAGATTTTATTTATTCATGAGAGACAAAGAGAGAGGCAGAGACATAGGCAGAGGGAGAAGCAGGCTCCCTGTGGGGAGCCCGATGTGGGACTTGATCCTGAGACCCTAGGATCATGCCCTGAGCTAAAGGCAGTTGCTCAACCGCTGAGCCACCCAGGTGCCCCTTTCTTCCTCTTTTTCCTCCCCCCCCTTTTTTTTTGTTAACTACAATTTAAGTAAAAATACATATTTTCAGATGCAAAATATGTAGAAAAGTAAATGAGACTGGAATGTGATCTATAGACAAGGGAAGGTTCTTTATATATATTTACTTACCCATTCATTGTTAACCTTGCTTTTTAGAGTGAAGAGTGTGTTATTTTAAATGAAAAGTTCACAAGTTCGTTTACTTTGTTTTTTTCCTGTATAGCTTCTGGAAGAAAAATGTTGTGGAAAATTGGATCATATCAATTTCCCAGTATTTGAACCAAGTACTCCAGATCCTGCTCCTGCCAAAAATGAATCTTCTCCTGCCCCTCCAGATACAGATGCTGATAAACTTAAAGAAAAAGAACCTCAAACCCAAGGAGAGAGCACAAGTCTGAGTTTAGCTTTGAGTTTAGGCCAATCCACAGATAGTTTAGGTACCTATCCAGCTGATCCACAAGCAGGAGGAGATAATCCAGAAGTTCATGGTCAAGGAGAAGTAAAAACTGAGAAGAGACCAAATTTGGTTGATAGACAGGCATCTACAGTTGAGTATCTCCCAGGCATGCTGCATTCAAATTGCCCTAAAGGTCTCCTACCCAAATTCTCCAGCTGGTCATTGGTTAAATTAGGCCCTGCTAAGTCTTATAACTTTCATACAGGTTTAGACCAACAGGGCTTCATTCCAGGAACAAATTATCTTATGCCTTGGGACATTGTCATCAGGACTAGAGCCGAAGATGAAGGAGACTTAGACACAAATTCTTGGCCTGCTCCAAATAAAGCTATTCCTGGAAAGAGAAGTGCAGTTGTAACAGGAAGAGGAAGACGGAGAGATGACATAGCTCGAGCATTTGTGGGCTTTGAATATGAGGACTCTAGAGGCCGAAGGTTTATGTGCTCAGGGCCTGACAAAGTAATGAAAGTAATGGGAAGTGGGCCAAAGGAGTCTGCTTTGAAAGCCCTGAATAGTGATATGCCCTTATATATTCTGTCATCATCTCAGGGTAGAGGGCTAAAACCACATTATGCTCAACTTATGAGGCTTTTTGTTGTAGTTCCCGATGCTCCTTTGCAGATAATACTAATGCCCCAGGTAAGAAATACAGCCTTTTCCATCCTTAAACAAAAATGTTGATGCTTGTTTTGATTGTTTTTTAAAAGTACAATATAATATCAAAGTATTTCATTAAACAGGTCTAAAATTTAAATATCTTGTATGTCTAATATTCTAGTTCTTTGAAAATTAATCACGTGTTTACTAGTTTACACCATCAATTCACATTGTTTAGTTCAAAGGCAGAATTTGAAGTTAAAAATCTGTAGAAAAGCAGGATACTGTTTGAGGCTAAATAATGTAATACTGAGTATTCATTAGAGTTAAGAGTTACCTTCTTAATCTTATATGGTCTTTGAACCTATTGTTTGTTTAGGCATTTATCTTTTAGGTGTTTCTTACTGAAAAATGTAAAAATAAGTATATTATCTTTATTTTTCAGGTTCAACCAGGCCCACCACCTTGTCCAGTATTCTACCCAGAAAAACAAGAAATCACTCTTCCACCAGATGGCCTCTGGGTTTTGAGATTTCCTTATGCATATGTAACTGAGAGAGGACCTTGTTTCCCTCCTAAGGAAAACGTGCAGTTAATGAGTTACAAGGTGCTCCGTGGAGTTCTTAAAGCAGTAACCCAATGAGTGTTTTACAGCCAGTTCAATCTTAAAGCTGGTGTTTGGTTTTGGTGTGTATGGGTTTGTTTTTGTTTTGGTGTATGTATGCTGTGTTTTCTTGAATCCAAAATGTGCTTTGGTTACAGGAGTTCAGTATTAGGACAGTAGTTGTTCCATTATTTCATGATATTATTGATATTTATTGTAAATGGGCCTACAGTTTGCTAATAAACATTGGTTCTTCTAGAAAAGGACATAAAATACCTGGTTGATACCTGTATTTTGTTTCTGTTTCACTGTCTATGATAAAACATGTTTCTGTCATAACTGAATGTTCCATAATCATGTTGAGCCAAAACTTTGTTTTGGTTAAAATGATATTTTAGCTGGGATTTTCCTTAAGATGCCACTTCTGAAATTATCTTCAAAATAAGATCATCCAGTGGATTATCTGGTAATGGTATGAGGATGTAATTGCAAAAAAAGCCCTATTGTTTGGCTCACAATTCTGGTACCTAAGTTAGACTGTTTTGTTCTTACTATTTTATTCCTGGACTAATGAGATATCATGTTTTATTTTTTTAATTTAATTTTATTTCATTTTTTAAATTTGAGAGATACCATATTTTGAATGAATGCTATCTGAACTAAAACTTTTTAAAAATTGTTTTTAAAGATTTTTTTTTTTTAAGATTTTATTTATTGATTCATGAGAGACACAGAGAGAGAGGCAGAGACATAGGCAGAGGGAGAAGCAGGTTCCCTACAGGGAGCCTGATGTGGGACTCGATCCCAGGACCCTGGGATCATGACCTGAGCCATAGGCAGATGCTCAACCCCTGAGCCACCTGGGTGCCCCTATTTTTAAGTAATCTCTATACCGAACGTGGGACTCCAATTCTGGAAATTAACCTATGTTCTTGCATCCCATCCTTATTTTTCATCCTTTTTAATTTTTGATTCCTTGTATATCATTTTTTAACAATCACAGTTAACTTTTTGTACTAAGCATGGTTCTTAGTTTGTTTTATCAAGTATTGCACTGCATTTGGAAAATACAACTAGATTGCTCTGTAGGACATATATTAATAGTTGATTGTTTTTTTCCTTTTAAAAACTAACTTATTTATTTTAGGGTGGTAGGGGCAGAGGGAGCCTGAGAAGGAGAGCAGACTGTTTAGGGTTTTTTAAAAAGATTTATTTATTTATTTTAGGGAGAGGAGGAAGGGGCAGAGGGAGTCAGAGAGGAAGACAAGCTGACTCCTTGCTGAGCCCAGAGCTTGATTTGGGGCTTGATCTTATGACCCTGAGATTGTGTTCTGAGCTGAAACTAAGAGTAGACCACTGGCCACTTAACTGGCTGAGATACTTAGGTACCCTTGTTTTGCTTTGTTAATAGCCTATAAGACTTGAATAAGGGTTGTGGAAATTTGTAGGTTAAAGGAACTGTAACAAAGTAGTTTGTAAGAACAGATAAGGTGTTGAAAGAGAAAACTTGTGACTTTTTTTTGTTTTTTGATGTCATTCTTACATGGAACAATTTTACATTCCTGCTAAAAAAAGAGAAAGTGATTTTCCTTCATTATTTTTATTGACAGAAGCCATCCTAATTTGAACTTCTGTAGTTTTCAAATACAAAGTTTTATGCTATTTGTATTTATAGCCTGCTTAAAAGACAATTGCAGAACTTCATGTTTTTATTCATAAATTGGTTTATAGAGTGTTGCATTGGAGAAATATGGACTATACAATTTGTATTGCTTACTGCCTTTCACATCAGTAATATAAACCTTATTCAGCCAATTTCAAAAGTGATTTTATTAAAGAAGTTATATTTGTTCTATAGCAGCACTTGCATTGTCTTTGCTTAGCAGATGCTTCTCTTTTTGTTGAGATATAGGCAGATGATTCAAAATGATTTTTTTTAAAGAATCACTAGGTCAGAAGGGACTTCACAGGATATCCTTTAGTCTGTTAAGTCTGTTGTATCTATGAAAAGTTGTATAGAATTTTAGGAAGTGAATTATATCTTATTCAAGGAGTGCTTATTATTTAAAGGACTAATATGATAAATCTTTCATGTAAATTACATTATTCTGATTTTTTAAAATGGCTTCACATGTTGGTTTAAAGTCATGTTGCCCTATACTACTTAAACAGGGAATCTGTATCTTAGTAGAAAAACAAACAAACAAAATCTTCCAAGAAACAGTTAAACAAAGAATATAGGAAAATGGGGTTAGGAAATACTGATTCACAAAAATAATAGCTACCCTTTATTGAATAGCGTAGGATAATAATAGCTATTTCATGAATGTCCACTTGTTATGTACTTTACTAAGCATTTTGGATACATTGCCTCAAATCTTCAAAACATTTCAAGATAAATCTATTTTGTAGATCAAGAAATTAAAGTTTCAAGTGGTTAAATAATTTGTCCAAGGTTGCATAGATAGGGAATAGCAAAGTCGTAATTTAAATTGAGTACTCTGATTTTATTTTTTTTTTAAGATTTATTTATTTATTTATGAGAGAGAGAGAGAGAGAGGCAGAGACACAGGGGAGGGAGAAGCAAGCTCCATGCTGGGAGCCCGACGCTGGACTCGATCTCAGGACTCCAGGATCACGCCCTGGGCCAAAGGCAGGCGCCAAACCACTGAGCCACCCAGGGATCCCCTAGTACTCTGATTTTAATTTTTATTTATTTATGATAGTCACACAGAGAGAGAGAGAGAGAGGGAGGCAGAGACACAGGCAGAGGGAGAAACAGGCTCCATGCACCAGGAGCCTGATGTGGGATTCGATCTCGGGTCTCCAGGATCGCGCCCTGGGCCAAAGGCAGGCGCTAAACCGCTGCACCACCCAGGGATCCCCTAGTACTCTGATTTTAAAGCTGTACTCTTCCTATGTCCTGCCTTCCTAAAAAATATAAAATTGAAAATTACATGTCAGTTCCTTCAACTGCGTATTTGACTCTGGTCTAAAACATGTGAATGGGTAAGTTTTTAATGTCAGAAAAATTGGGCATGATACCCCAAAAAGTATTAGTTCTTTTAAGTCTTAGTTTCTTAATTGTCTCCAAACTGTATTGAATCTTTATATTATACCATCTCTCATTCCAGATTTTCTCCTGTGTAAAATAATACTATTGTAGATTGAAGCCAAAAAAAAAAAGATTCTTTTTGCTTAAGAAACCTGGACAAGTCAGGTGGCTCAGTCCGTTGAGCATACAAACTCAGTTTTGGCTCAGGTCATGAACTGATGGGTTGTTAGGATCCAGCCCCAGGTCAGGCTCTGTGGTTGTCAGGGAGAGTTGGCTTGAGGTTTTTTCCCTCTGTCCATACCCTCTCCTACTCACTGTCTCTCTCAAATAAATAAATCTTTAAAAAAAAAAAAGAAAAAGAAACCTGGATAATTTACTTAATTCTTGAATATTATTTTCTCTAAAATGGCAATGGTTAAGTAAATAAATGAATGAATAAATTAATAAAATAGTAATGATAATCGCTATTTATCACAAAGGGTGTTTGTAAGGAGTAAAGGAGTATATATAGGGGCACCTGGGTGACTCAGTTGGTTAAGCATTTGCCTTTGGCTCAGGTCATAATCCCAGGGTTCTAGGATGGAGCCCCATGTTGGGCTCCCTGCTTAGCAGAGAGCCTGCTTTTCCCTCTCCCTCCAACCTGCTGCTCCCTCCTGCTTGTGCTCTCTCTCTCTCTCTCTCTCTCTCTCTCTCTCTCACTATCAAATAATTAAAACATTTTTTAAAAAGTATATATATAAAGCTCCTAATGTACCATAAATAAGTTATTGAGAATAATTACAATTTATCTTGAATTTTCTTATTTATTTTACCTTTAAGGTATCCCATAAGTCTAATAGTTTTGGAGATGGTGAATAAATTTTGGTTTTAGACCTATCTTTTATAATCAGGTAAATAGTACCTAGTATATGCAAAATCCTGTGGTAAAGAAACACCATGACATGTAGCTGTTTTATAGACTTGAATTTGTACCTTTCCTCTTGTATCTTTGGTCTTTTTAAACCTGATTTAATTTTTGTTAGTTTGTTTATGCTTCAGATATGATAGCCTCTTAAATCCTTTGGCCATTTCTGTCTCCTTTCTGTCTCCTACAAGTTTGTGCCTGTCCTAAGATGCAGCAAACAGAATTGTACTCAGTTTTTGGAATGCTGCACAGTTGTGCACAAAGGCCAGCTAGTAGTTTATGTTTAATTTTCAATACTCTGAATTATTTTTATTGGCCTAAGTTGGCACAGCAGCTCACTGGTTTAGTGTTTTAAGGAACCAATTTACTGCATTTCCAAACATTGGATACCATCTAAAGCTTTAGTTTATTGGTCTTGTAAAATGAGGATAATAACTCTCTTATCTACCTCAAAAGATAACCTTGGTTCTAACTCTTAGTCTTGTTAATTGAAGTCCTTTACAAACTCTTATAAATAGAAGGGATACTTGTTATTCTTTGTCTGTTTGTAACAGAACTTAGATCCTATCATATTCTAAATACAATGTAACTATTTTCCCCAAATCTTTCCATGCTAAAAATAGTCCTGCCCGTAGATATAGCAATAAAAATAACTTACTTTCTTTCTTTCTTTCTTTCTTTCTTTCTTTCTTTCTTTCTTTCTTTCTTTCTTTCTTTCTTTAGATTTATTTATTTATTTGAGAGAGAGTACATGTGTGGCAGGTGGGGTAGAGGGAGAGAATCTTCAAGCAGCCTCTTCACTGAGTGTGGAGCCTGTTTCTGGGCTCCATGCAGGGCTTGATTCCACAACCTGTGAGATCATGACTTGAGCCAAAACCAAGAGTTGGAAGCTCAACCAACTAAGCCACCCAGGTGCCCCTAGAAATCATTTTCTATTTGAATAGAAATAAGACAAATTTCTAAAGTATAAATTATATATTGTGGTTCCCTTTTATTACACTCTTCTTAGAGGACTGTCTTATAACAGTTGATTATTACTTCCTTTCTCCTACTGAGTTATATGTACTTGAATTTCCAGTGATTTTTATTTTTGATTTTATCCTAGGTGTTTTCTCAATATAATATAATGTACCCAGTTTAGAATCCCATTTAAAATCCCATTGTTTTTGTTTTTGAACATACCTGTGTTGTTTTTGTAAAACCAGTGTGTAGTCACTATATCTGTTATTAAGAATTTGTTTTGGTGGAGGGGTGCCTTGGTAGTACCAAGCGGCTGACTTGGTTTCAGTTCAGGTTGTGATTTCAGGGTCCTGGGATCTAGCCCTGAGTAGTGTTCTGCACTCAGGCAGAGTGCTTAGGTTTCTCTCTTTTCCCCCTCCCTCTGACCCTACCCTTGCTCACTTGCATGCAAGCACTTTCTCAAATAAATTAATCTTAAAAAAAAAAACTTTTTTAAGATAAATTACCTGATAATCCACTGCTTTCCCAATACTCTGCTAACCACTTGCAACATTTTAGTGAATATCCTTCTAGACATCTCTATGCATATATACACATGAAGATATGTTCTCAATTTTACATAATTGCAATGATAGAATACAAGAATATGAAAATACACTTGTTTTATACTGTACTTTTTTTTACTCAACATGTAGTAGACATTTTTCCTGTCAGTAAATAGAAGTCTGTTATTAATGGCTGCATCATTTTCCTGTATGATTTACACAGTCTTTGTTTGATATTTAGGTTCTTTCCAATTTAGGGCTCCTACAATGATGAAACACTATGATATATACATATGTCTTTTTTTTAAGAATTTTTAAAAAGATTTAAAAAATTTATCTGAGACAGCGAACACAAGCAGGGGTAGGGGCCAAGGGAAAGGAACAGATAGACTCCCTACTGAGTGCAAAGCCCTATATGGGGCTTGATCCCATGACCCTGAGATCATGACCTGAGCCCAAGTCAGACGTTTAGCCAACTGAAACACCTAGGTTCCATACATACATATATGTCTTTTATTAATACCTGTGAAGTTTTCTTTGCAGGATAAACTGTTAGACTTTGGATTGACAGGACAAGGGATATATGCATTTTGCGTTTTGATACATATTGCTAAATTGCCCTACAGAAAGTTGAACCATGCTCTAGCCTAGTATCAGATTCCCATTATCATAGTTGGGAATCCTGATGGCAGTCCAATCCAATCAGCACTAGTTTTCTTATTTTGTTTTTTAGTTTTTTTTTGTTTTGTTTTGTTTTGTTTTGTTTTTAGTTTTCTTATTTTGAATAGTATCTCAATTTAATTTGTGAGTTCCTTCAGAACTCTTGGGTAAATATTTTCTGATCCCAATGATATATGTTCCTAGGCAATTGCATCTGCTATTAGAGCACCTATGATTTGGGCAATGCAATTGTGGATGGGATTTAAATGACAGCCTAAGGAATCATTAATCTTTTATTTTTTAGAAGATCAATACTATCTTCTCCAACCAACACTTTGAACTGAATTGAGATTGGTGATTTGGTTATAACATCAGCTACTAGCTTAGTGGTCTTGGGTAAACTACTTAACTTCTGCAGACATCAGTATTTTTCTTTACAGTGAAACAAGCCAGTGATTTCTGATACACTTTCTTTTTAACATTTTTCCCGTATGATACTTGATTGTACTAAGTTCCATTCTTGGTTTAAATAATGTCTTATTAACTTTGGTGACTCTTGTAAATTTGACTCCATCCTGGAAGACATCTCTGGTCATATTGGTATAATTTAAAAAAAAAATGCTTTTCTATTATCATTGCTTGCCTATTCTTTCATTAGTTTTAATTTTCTTGGGCCTCCAATAAGGTATATGTGGTCCTGCTTGGTTATTTGTATTCATAATTATGTATACTTTTCCCAAATTTGTTGCTGATATTTTAGAGAAAAAAAATTTTTTTAAGATTTATTTATTGAGAGACACAAAGAGAGAGAGGCAGAGACATAGGCCAAGGGAGAAACAGGCTCCCTGCTGAGTAGGGAGCCCAATGTGGAACTTGATCTGGATCCCAGAGTTCTGGGATCACACCCTGAGCCAAAGGCAAATGCTCAACCACTGAGCCACCCAGGTGGCCCAAGAAAAATGTTTTAACTTCTGACAAAATGCTTTACTTATATAGGATATTTTTAATGCTTTCATTTTACTTCATTAGATCCTCAAAATGCCCCATGAAATTAGTTACTATTATCTTCATTTTATAGAATGTAGAAACTGAGGCTTAAACTAAATAATATGCCCAGTCACTTAGGTTGTAAATGGCCTAACTATGTCTATGGGTTTGAAGTTCAGAACTCTATCTACTAAACCACATACCTCTATATAGGAGGGTTAAATATTCTTAGTTACATAGATTTCCCCCCCCCAGGTGATATTTAGCATATGCATGTGTGTATTCCAATCATAAATAGTAGTCATTGAATTTAGAGAAAAGTTGCTATCAGGTTAGATTTTGGTAAAGGGAAGCAGAATCATGCATATCAGCTGATCTATAGGATATGATCTGACAGCCCTAAACAGATACTTTCCTTAATTCCTCATAAGGCAATATTCTTCAACTTATGAGTTGCTTTAAAATGTTTTGATTAGGGCAGCCTGGGTGGCTCAGCGGTTTAGTGCCACCTTCATCCCAGGGCGTGATCCTGGAGATCCAGGATCGAGTCCTACATCAGGCTCCTTGCATGGAGCCTGCTTCTCCCTCTGCCTGTGTCTCTGCCTCGCTCTCTCTCTCTCTGTCTCTCATAAATAAATAAATAAAATCTTTAAAAAAATGTTTTGGTTAAGGGACGCCTGAATGGCGCAGTGGTTGAGCATATGCCTTTGGCTCACATCGAGAACCCAAGGTCCTGGGATCGAGTCCCCCATCAGGGTCCTCACAGGGAGCCTGCTTCTCCCTCTGCCTCTTTCTCTGTGTCTCTAATGAATAAATAAAAATTTTAAAATATTTTAGTTTAATAAATGTCATATTTGGAAATTTTTATACTTAGAGCTTTTTTCTATAAAGGATTTACCATTTCTCTGGGTATTTTGATACTAGATCAAGAAATAGACTTACTATGGTGGTAAATTGATGCAAAAGTCTTTTTCAGCTACTTTTTATTTTAAAGATTTTATTTGTTTTTATTTTAGAGAGAGAGCACACAAGCAGGGGGAGGAGCAGAAGGAGAGACAAGGAGGGGAAAGAATCCCAAGCCCACTCAGTGCTGGGCTCTGTTCCACTCCCCTGAGATCATGACCTGAGATAAAACTAAGAGTCTGACATTCAGTGGACCCAGGAGCCCCTTTTATAGCTACTTTTTAAATTTTAATGTAGGCCACTGTTTTCTAGAATCTTCTAAATTTGCAAGGACTTCAACTATCTCTATTTTTGACCTCAAACTTTCTAATTAAGTTCTTCTTCCAGCTTATCTCTTAGCTCAGGCAAAAGATCCTGCAGGCAAAGCATAACCGGATGGGAACTGAAACTACTCCCTCAAGCAATAAGGACTGCCCTGAGCCAGCAAGGCCGCACCCATGATTTACTCTAAGACAGTGATCAGCTTGACTTTCACTGCCCTCCTCCTAAATGTGGCCACCTTTGTCCCATATTTTCCTTATATAAACCTGGAAGTATGGATGAAAGGAAAACTAGTTGGGTCTTCTGGGATTCAGTTTCCTGTCTAAGACCTTTCAGTAATAACCTATAACCTTGCGAATGTTTTCTTATTTTAAGTAGACTTGCAAGTGAACAAATATATCTTGACTGCCAATCCTGTATAAAGCATGGGGTTTGCATTGTCACAGTGGAATGAGAGAAGAATGCCTCAAATTTTGGCTGATAAATTAGGACCTCTTAAGGTATGTGTAACGATAGGGGAAACTCCATTTTCATCAAATGGATGAGTTTACTATTTGTTTTAGCGAGCTTTAACTCCTCCATTAGTAACAGTTCTTTGCAACTTGCTAGAGTCAGGGCTAAGATGTGCCCTGGAATCTTTTTTTTTTTTTAAGATTTTATTTATTCATGAAAGAGAGGCAGAGACCAAGGCAGAGGGAGAGGCAGGCTCCCTGCAGGGAGCTTCATGCGGACTGGATCCTAGGAGCCCCGGGATCCCGACCTGAGCCAAAGGCAGACCATCAACCACTGAGCCACTCAGGGACCCTGGAATCTCCTTTTTTGATGAGGATTTTCTAATTGTCAGGCCGTCCCTGAAGGCTATCTTGGAGCAGCCTTTTCTGCCTGAGTGATGGCGAAGACACTGGCAGGTTTCCAAGCTTTCGCCTCAGTTTGGAGATTTTCAGAGAAGCTGCGGGTTCTACCCCAGAGCTGGATGACAAATGCTCACTACCGGACCTCTCCAGGTTCCTACCCAGCAGCCAGAGCGCGCCTGCGTACCGCAGCTCCTTTGTTACTCAGACGCCTGGGGTCTGCTGCGCCTGCGTGAAGGGCTGGCGCCGACAAGTGCGCTGCACCGCTGGCACCGGCTGGGGGCGAGCAGACCTCGAGCAGCTGCAGCTGCGCCGCCGCCGCTGCGCCGCCGCCGCCGCCGCCGCCGCCGCCGCCGCCGCCGCCGCCGCCGCCGCCGCCGCCGCCGCCGCCGCAGCCGTTGCGACCGCCGCAGCGGAGTTCAGAGGGCCCGGAGGTGGGAGACGTCCCACACGGTGGCTGAGATGTCGTCCACCGCGGCTTTTTACCTTCTCTCCACCCTGGGAGGGTACTTGGTGACTTCATTCTTGTTGCTCAAATACCCAACCTTGTTGCACCCGAGAAAGAAGCAGCGATTCCTCAGTAAACACATCTCTCACCGCGGAGGTGAGAGGGGGGTCCCCAGATCTCGTTGGCGGAGGTGGGGGAGGCTTCCCCCCCAACTAGAGCTGAGCGTCCTTTAGAGCTCCGCAAAAGGCTGGCGGGTGGAAATGCTTGAGAGTTTGAGGAAGAATGGGGTGTGCGAAAGAGGGCTCCCTGGAGGTGAAGGCGATGTGAAGGGGAGGTCTCTTGAAGGGAGGTAAGGGATCTTGAGACCGAGCCATGGTGGGGGAATCTCTCAAGTGCAGCGGTGTCAGAGGTTCTCTGAAGGAGGGTGTGAGAATTAAGGGTAGATGGAGCGTTTCTCGGCAGATGGAAGGATGATTGCAAGGGGGGTGGGGGGGGAGCGCCGAGCAGCGCCAGGGTACCCCGCCGGGGAACAGGAACCGACTGTCCGGAGTGGAGCCGGTGGCTGAGCGTGTAGGAAGATCTGGGGCGACGAGCTTCGAGGGTTGAGGAACTGCGTGAACCTGGAGCGTGATGCAGCCTGGTTGTCTGCAGTCCCTGGGGGCTGGCGCCCCACCCCCAGCCTCCCCTTCTGAGCACTGATGATTAAGAGGAGATGGAAACCTAGTCCCTGACTTGGGGACATTTCCCAAGGTCACAATTAGAGCTTAGGTTGGACTGGGACAGAAATTGGAGCGTTCTCGTTCCCAAGGGAGCAAACCTTACACCTGCTTTGGTTTTTTTTTTAGCCCCACCCAGCACCTGAGCAATGTCACCTGGATTTCCTAAAGACAAAAAGATGATGTAGTTTATGACAGGACTATATTGTTTAAAGAAAACAAAGAAGGAGGTGTTTCTTGGGAAAGTATCTTACTAAAAGGAGCCTAGATAGTCCATCCTGTAATTTCCCAAACAGCAGACCAAATCTTTGCCTCTTCATTATCGCAAAATAATGAGTCTTTATTTCAAGTATGATGTATAAAATGTTGTGAAATCTGATTTAGTCGATCAATTTTAACTGTTCTTTAGAGGTGAATGTTAAATTAGGTTAAAACTGCTTGGAATTTACAGGCCAATCCTTGAAATGGTAAATTTTAGAGGAGTTTACAGTCTAAAACTTGATTTAGTACTGTATTTTCTAACAAGAATTGGCCAGGAATACAGTTTTAAATATGACAGAAATACATTGGCATTCTTCTGTATAATCTCTACAATTTTATGTTAAGCATAGTTCTGAAGAGTGACTTCAATAGTTATGCTAGTCCCTCTACTCATGAAAAGCATCAAGGGGTCACCAGCTAAATGCCCTGTTATTGCTTATTTGGTTTAATTAGATACATAGTTAAAGCGTAGGATGACATGACTGCTAATATGCCTTCAACTATTAAAGCCCCAATCCAACTTTTAGTGTTTAAATTGTTGCTGTAGAAGCAATTTTCGATGGTAGTAGTCCTGTTATTCTGGAGATACGCAGTACACATACTACAGTTGTGTTTACCTACTTTATTTTTTTAAAGACTTACTTTATGTAAGTAACCTCTACACCCAGTGGGGTCTGAACTCACAACCCTGATATCAAGAGTTGCACATTCTTCTGACTCAGCAGCCAGGTGCTCTGTGTTTAATGATTTAAAAAAAAAGAAAAGAAAAGAAAAATGTTCTTACTAAAAGCCCAAACCAAAACAAAACTAGATTCTCTAAAAAGCTATCTAAACTGTCATTGTAGATAATCTAAATTTTATTTTAGAAAAAAAATGCATGTTAATTTTTTGAATTTTTGCGATGCACTACAGGTGAAAAAACAGAACTCCATAGAGGTTAGAAAAATATGTGCTAGATCAATGTAGTCAGTATTAAAACCAGGATAAGCTAGATTTACAATTCTTATTTACTATTGGAAATACTTTAAAAATATTTTCCCTAGATATAAAGTCATTTTCAGTTGTTTCAGTCTCACCCCTTACATAAAAATTTCCATTCATTATTTGCAAATATGGGATCAGTATTTGTATATTCAAAGATATATAACTGAAACTGTCATGATAATCTTGTTAAATATCTGCAGATTTGAATCTATTTACTTATATGATGGTCCTAATGCACTGTAGTAAGTCCCTATGTTGTTAGTACCTTAATATGCTTTTGTTGAGTATGTGCTCCAAATAATACAATTGAATCCAGAGTTATAGAGGAGCTATTTACTAAAAAATACTTTGTAACTCAAGATACCAAGTTTCTGGAAAATAATAGTTGAGGAAGGAGTCACTTCCTTGCTACTTTTTATTTTTGTCTTGGACACTGCCAACAACAATCACTAGTGTCTCTGTGCTTATTACTAACATTTGGGCTGATTCTCTATTGCCCAAACTTCAAATACCTACTATTTCATGTAAATCAGATCTATGACCATTCCAAGACTGAAACATTGATCAATATATCTTATAAAGTATATACCAGATTCGCTATAACTCGAAACCCTTAATGTGTACTATATTGTGTCTGTATTATCACCCGAGTCAGATTCTAGACCACTAGTTAGCCTTGGGAAGAAGACTTAGTTTCCTTATTTGTAAATGGGGACTCTTTGCCTTGCTTCTCTTTGGGTTGAGAGGATTAGGTATATAAAATGGACTTTGAAGACTGTACAATTGTTTTTGAAATATAAGCACGGATATAGGGATCCATATATGTATTATGTATTAGAACTTTGAATTGAATGAGAAAGAATAAGATCAACCTATACTTATGTTTTCAAAATTTTAATGAACATGTTGCCTTTTACTGAGATTATCCTTGAAAGAGGAAATTAATGTTTAAAAATTATTATTATTAATTTTTAAAGATTTTATCTATTTATTTATTCATGAGAGACACAGAGAGAAGGCAGAGACATAGGCAGAGGTAGAAGCAGGCTCCATGCAGAGAGGCCCGATGTGGAACTTGATTCCAGAACTCCAAGATCACGCCCTGAGCTGAAATGAAGGCAGATGCTCAACCTCTGAGCCACCCAGGCATCCTAATGTTTCAAAAATTAAATTCTGTAGGTTTATTTTGTTCTTGCCTCTTTAGAGCATATACATTGTATTACATTATATTGTAATGTTATTGCTATGTTAATACATCTGCCTCCCTTACTAGACTGTGAGTTCCTTAAGGGCAGGTTTCAGCTTTTATTAATGCTTCTGTCTCTAGCTTCTAGTGCAGATCCTAATATAATTAAAATAATAAATTATTATTACTACTATTTTAGATTTTATTTATTTGACACAGAGAGAGGGAGCACACAAGCAGGGAGAATAGGAAAGGGAGAAGCAGGTTCCCCATTGAGCATGGAGTCTGATGTGGGGCTTGATCCCAGGACCCTGGGATCATGACCTGAGCCAAAGGCAGATGCTTAACCTGGGCCACCCAGGTGCACTTAAAATAATAAATTATTGTCTTCTAATTATCTACTGCATGCTAGATCCCTCCTATGTGTCTCCTAAATGTATTTGACCAAAGAACACCTTTTATAACTACAATGTATTGATGAAACACCAATAAGATCAAAGATACACCTTTTGGATCAACTGGAGAGCAAGCAATATTCTCAAAGCCTATTTTCTTAATTTCTCTATGAAAGTATATCCATATATAATCCCTATTAACATTTTGAAGTATATCCTTTAAATATATATTTTCTGATACTTGTAATCATACTGTATATACTTTTTTTTTCAGATTCCAATTGAGCTGGTTAAAGGTATGATTGCAGGGAGTTAGGGAAATAACTTAGTCTAAGATTCCTCAATCTATCTCTATGAGCCAGTTGAATTAAGCAACAGACTTTTTTTTTTAAGATTTTATTTAGTTATTCATGAGAGACACACAGAGAGAGGCAGAGACATAGGCAGAGGGAGAAGCAGGCTCCATGCAGGGAGCCCGATGTGGGACTCGATCCAGGGATCACGCCCTGAGCCAAAGGCAGAGGCTCAACCACTGAGCCACCAGGCATCTGCCAGGTGTCCGGCAACAGGCTTTTTTTTTTTTTTTTTTTAAGTCTATGTATTAAGGGTTCAGTGGCCAAAGAATTAAAAAAAAAAATCACCTTCCCTCTTAATCTTTTACCCTTGATCTTGAGAAAGAGTATTGTCACAATCTGGGCATCCTGCCACAGAATGATTTGGCCAGTGATAAGTTTGAGGGTAAGTTTACTATTGGATGCTGGCTGCTTCTGGGTTCCAAACTTTATTTGGACTTCCAAGGAAGAAATTGAAAAATCAATTTGAGTCTCAAAAGTATCACTGGAAGTGGTATTCTGTAGTTGCATCCTGAAACACATCCCATGTAGGGTATCAATGCTTTCCGTCTTGTTCCCTCATTTCTATTTTCAGGGAACTCTTACTCACTTTTCAATGAGGACTTTTTTCTTTTCCTTTTATTTTTTAGTAATCCCTGCACCCAACATGAGGTTCAAACTCACAACCCTGAGATCAAGAGTCACATGCTCTTCCAGCTGAGCCAGCCAAGTGCCCTTTCAACAAGGACTTGTCCTCATTCCTTTCCTCAACTGGCTCCCTCCGACTGATACCTTATTAGCAATGAAGGTGTTTATCATTTATTTAATGATAAGTTAATATTTCCTGCTTAAGAAAGCAAACTAAAATGTACTTGTTTTCAGGAATGGCTGAAATATAGATGTCTTAAATTATATATAAATTTAGAAAAATTAAATATAAAAATATTATAGAAAATACTGAAATGACAATTTTTATAGAGAAATTATTGAAATTATGACAGGATACATAACAAAAAACACTTATCACTGAAGAGAGCATACATGTGGTAGTTGGTAAATGCTGCCTGTGTATCAATATAAAGTTGGAGTATCAGTATATTTGCATATTCTTCTGTACTATTGATGTGTTTAGTTTTTTTATACCTATAAATACAGATTTCACCAGTTTTTTTTTTTTCCCTTGACATACAGAAACAAGTCTGCAGTGTTCCAGGGAACCCATATTGAGAAATGCTCTTAGAGCAGCCCGGGTGGCTCAGCGGTTTAGCGCTGCCTTCAGCCC